CCCTCCCTGGGGGCTTTGTGGTGGCCCGTGGCATGGGGGAAGGGCGAGGCTGTGATCCCGCCTGGGGGGGAAGACAACATGCAGGTCCACACACCCACCGGCTGGGTGACGCCCACCTGAGACGCGCTCACCGCAGGAGGCCGAAGGCGATGGATGGCGTCAGGTTCAGCTGCAGGGCAAAGGCCACGCACTCTGCTTCAACATCAGCTGAAAGTTGGGTCATTGGCGCTACTACTGCCAGGCGACCATGACGGGAATGGCAGTGCCACTGTGGACGATGAACGACTACATGAAGACCAAGGAGTTCTGCGATAACCTGACCAGCACGCACTTCTAGGGTCCTGTGGCCAACTGGGCCCTTTAAGGACATGAAGGCGCCAGCGGTCAGTGACCACATGACAGCAGCGCTCATCTATTCCATGGGCTTCACGCACTTCACCTACTGTGTCCAGCCTCGAAAGGACCTGGGATGGCTGCCATGCCACCAACGTGGTGGCGCAGTGTGCAGGCGAGCCTGAATGTACACCACCACTGTGGCAGCACCACCCTTGCCAAGGCCCATGATCCCCTGTATCCCAGCTCGAGCAAGGTGGCCACCAGCCCCAGTTCGCGACTGTCCCCGAAAGGAGCTTAATGGCCGGGCAGTTTGTGAAGCACCGAACTCTATTTTTTTTTTTTTTTCGGTACTGGGGCTTGAACTCAGGGCTTACACCTTGAGACACTCCACCAGCCCTTTTTTGTGAAGGGTTTTTTTGAGACAGGGTCTTGCAAACTTTTTGCCTGGGCTGGCTTCAAACCATGATCCTCCCGATCTCTGCCTCCTGAGTAGCTAGGATTACACGTGTGAATCACCAGTGCCCACCTCCTAACACCAAGGAAAACTTGGCGTTGACTCTTGAAAAGGTGCAAACTTGACTTAAATCTGTGGTTTTGGTTAATCAAACCGAAGTTCTTTAGTGTCCTCTATTTTGTGAACTGGGAGGGGACAAAGTATTTTCTGGGTGACGGTGGATTGGCTGCTTTTTTCACAGGACCTGCAAATTGAGGGTTAGATAGGGATGGAAGACTGAATGAAAAAAAGTCACATTATCCAGTAAACCATAGCTTATTTTGCTTGTTTCGTTTTTTAAGCACTCTGGGGAACATGCTTTCATTATTTGCTTTGGGTGTCCAGGGCAAATTAGGGCATTTAGTATTGCACGACCTTTAAAATTTCATTGTCACAAATTCCTATACCCAAAAAGGCTGAGGGGGGGGGGTCCTATTTCTGTGGGGAGGGTATTTTTTTCTTCACAATTCTGGGGTTTGAACTCAGGCCTCATGCTTGCTAGGCAGGCAGGCACTCTACCATTTGAACCACTCTGCCAGCTGGAGGGAAACTTTTTTTTTCAGTACTGGGGTTTGAACTCAGGACCTGCTCCTTGAGCCATTCCACCAGCCCTTTTTTGTGATGGGTGTTTTTGAGATAGGGTCCGGAGAACTATTTGCCCAGCCAGCTTCAAACCGTGATCCTCCTGATCTCTGCCTCCTGAGTAGCCAGGATTACAGGCGTGAGCCACCAGGAGGGAACCGTTTTGAAGTGGGTTTAAATGAACGTAGTAAAATCCAGTTTGGACTTTTAAGGAGTACTTATTAAGAAAATCTAGACTCTCTTAGTGATCAAGAGCAATTAATTATAGAATTTACTATGGAGACTCAGATAAACGACTTAAATGGTTGCTGTCAACTCTGCTAGGTAAAGTAAAGGTGCCAAGATCATAATTCCTTCATCCTTTCCTTATCCCTAAAAGTGAAGAGATGGCTGTTTGTAAAAGTGGCTAGCCTTGTCCCCCGTGCTGAATGTTAGCTAGGACTGGGGGTAAGGGTCACTGGTCAACAGCAGTAGCTGACTCTTCCTCCTAGGAATCCAGTACTATTGACTTTTCTTAAGCCAGGGAGCACAAGACGAGGGAAAAGGGGGGGGGGCGGCTGTGAGTTGAGCTGAGGCATTACCTCCACCTCAGAGGCTGTCCTCTAGGATCAGACCTCAAATTTCCCCCGCTTTTGCCTCTGGAGGATATGGGAAGGTTCAAAGTGGTTACAGGGAACCCAAGCGCTAAAACCTTGCAAAAAGTTGAAAACCATGAAAGGTTCTGAAGTTATCAGCTCTTAGCTGGAAGTCTGGAAGATTCCTCATCTGTTATGACTTTGGAGCATTAGTCCTCTCTGTAGTCTCTGTTGCCAATTCTGTGTTTGGAGGCAGGGCATGAGGAACAAACTGTGAGACAATATAGTGTATCACCTATTGATGTGCAACCAGTAACTCCACAACTTAACAGTTTAAAACAAATATTGCCCCTCAATTTCTTAGGGCCAAGAATCTGGGGATGGAAGATCTACTTCCAGGCTCACTTGTTTGCAGGATGCTCTGGCTCTTTATCCTGTGGGCCTCTCCACAGGGCTGCTCATGGCATGGCCTATCTTACTCCAGAGTGCTTGCTCTAAGAGAGCCTAAGATGGAAGTTCTAGTTTTTTACAGCTTAACTGTGAAGTGACACACCATCACTAGTGCTTCGTTCACACAGACCAACTGTAGTCCACTGTGGGAAGACAGTATGAGGGTGGGAATACGAGGAGGCAAGGATCATTCGGGGCCATATCGGAGGCTGGCTACTGTACACGGTTCTGAAATAAGAACTGTAATGACTATCTAATACTCAGTATAAATAAAGCAGGTAAGGTCATTGCCCACCTTCCTGAAGAAATGTCACATAATGTTCAATTTACACTTGTGTGGTCATTACTAATGTGCCGTATCAGAGCATGGGTTTGAGTTGTTTTTGGAATAATAACTCTTAACATTTTAGATAACTGAGACTACAAAGCAATAATAAAACAAGTTCCTAAAGTTATTAAATGAATCATAATATATCAAGATTAAGATTTTAATGTCTTTTTTTCACTTCACTAAGCATTACGTGAATAGAAATCAATATATCTTTAGGCACGTCTTACAAAATGTGATTTTGTAATCTGAATATATTTCAAAAAAGCCCACTCTAAGACATTTCAGAGCAGGTAGGTTTCTAATTATCCTGCTGAGGTTAACCTGCTGATAATTTCCTATCAGTCTACATTTGTAATTGAGAGATCAAAATGGTTAGAGAAAATACCTAAAAGACTGCAACGCCTCTAGTCTACTGCAATGCTGCCCTTACTACATCTGACACATAACATGCCCACCCAACTAGACGTACCCTTTGTTGCTAGGATATTACTGTTTAAAGGCACATAAGAAAATACTTGAACAAAAATGAACCTTTCAAGTCATCAGAGTAGTAATCATTTCATAATCCCCCCAAACTCTCAAACATAATTCTGACCATGGCAATTTAAAACTGTCTACAGATCTCTACTGCCATTTTATGAAGCTAGGAACATTTTCTGAGTTGGCAGAGCTAGTTTTCCAGAGGTTTTGGTTACTAACACATTTTAGTCATTCTTCAGGATTCAGATGTTTTTATGTCCTGTCACATCTGAGCTTCCTGGTAAAGAACACGCTAAAGTCAAGGGCCTGCACTGTAAGGCTCAAGTAATTTTCTCCTTGAATTCTTTCAAAACTGTGAACCACATATTGCATGCTTCCCCCACTCCTGGGAGGAACAGGAAGAGGCTGAGACTAAAGCACATTGCTGGATGAAGTTGGGGTATTCCATGTGGAAACAAAGGAAGAAAGGAATGTCCTTCTTGGGTTTCTTCCTGTGACTGAGAAGTGCCCCTGGAGGTGAAGCTACAAAAGGTAGGCTGCAACAAAATCCAGGAAATACAGATGATTTGCAAATTGAAATTACATTGTTCATGTCTCTTTTATTATTCTGAAATTACAAATTTTAATTAAAAAATTTAAAAATACACAAGTACATTTTTATTGTGAAAATTTCATATGAGAGTATACAAAATAGGAAAGCCTAATTCCTTCTGACTACTCCAAGGTCCCAATTCCTTTCACAGAATAACAGCAAAAAGGCTTAAGCAAAAACACACAACTTTCCACACTTCACTTTTCATAAAATATACATAGTATTACAGCATGCTATGCATAGGTAAACATTTTGTTGTTCTATTTATTTACTTTTGGCAGTGCTAGGGTTTTAACCCAGGGCCTCATGCATGCTAGGCAAGCACTTGACCACCGAGCTCTACTCCCAGCCCTGCTTTCCTGCTTCGTATATCTTACAGGTCATTCCACGTTCCTGCACTGCAGCGTCACCTTGTTCTTTCTCATGCTTACATGACACTCTGCAGCAGAGGTGCTGTATTAATGGGCCCTCTCACTGTTGATGGCTTGGTAACAATGCTGCTGAGTGCATCTTTTTGAGCATACCTGGGCCCACTGCACAGTTCTGTGGGAGATGCCCACAGGGTGATGTCTCTCCATAGGCTACATCTCCTTTAAAGTTCTCTCTAAGCAGGTCTTCCCTTCTCTGTTTCAGTGTAAATGTTACTGGTATGGTATAAAGTTGTCTGAATCATGCCTTTATCAGAGAAGACAAATAAATCCAGTAAGATGACAGCTTGGATATCATCATCTGTATCTTACAAATCCTTGTATTTGCATCTACTTCAATGCCTGGCACATGCCTGGCACTTGGTAAGTGTGTGTTGGATAGATAAGGAAAAACTAGACACAGGTATAAAATGGAAGGGTTCATATCCGAATGGTCTTAAAATTAGAGATCAGGTCTTAGCCAGGTGCATGGTACTATAGCTCTGGACCTTGTATTGAAGAAAAAAATAGCCGGCACCAGTGGCTCACACCCATAATCCTAGCTACTCAGGAGGCAGAGATCAGAAGGATCATGGTTCGAAGCCAGCCAGGCAAACAGTTCCTGAGACCCTATCTCAAAAATACCTAACACAAAAAGTGCTGGTGGTTGACTCAAGGTGTAGGCCCTGAGTTCAAGCCCCAGTACGCCAAAAAAAAAAAAAAGGAAAAAAAAATCAGGTCTTAAATTGGTTAGTGAATCAAGATTCCATTTCATCCCATGTTTTGCATCTCAGATCTAGAAGCTAGGAGATGTTTTATTAAAGTTTCTTAGTTTGGGACAGTTGCAAGATGAATAAAAATTATTACTGAAGTTCTCAAGGAACTTCAAGAAATGAAGGGAGAAAGAAAACACAAGACTAAGGACTAAATAGCAACTGGGAAGATTAAAGCACAAAGTTATGAACACATTTGCATTTATTCAAATTTCACAGAATTGTATTAAATGCCTTTTAAAGTAAAAATATATGCCAAATATATTCCATTCCTCTGCCCTATAGAATGGTGGGCAGTTGAATAGATGAAGGAGCACATTTATCTTTACTCATGCTTGGCATGGAGCAATTCTTCCAGGCAGAGTTGTGAGAACAAGGCAATTCTATCTCAGAAAGTCCAGAGGCAACCTGGCCTTGGAGATGAGCAGATGGAAGGGAAGGTGGAAGTGAAGTCAACTCTAAAGACCACTGCATGTAATGGTACAGTGTTTGTGTGGTTTGGGAACAAATAGGATAAAAGTTCAGAGTGGAAGACTTTTAGGTCAAAGGAATAGAAGAAGTATGAATGAATTTGTCAATTTTTTGAAAAAAAAAAAAGATGTCTTGTAGTTTCCATAAGAATGTTAAAATTTCATAATGAAGGGCCAAGTTTAGTTGACAATGTAACTAGTATTTATACCTATGAATACTCCTAGGCTAACAGATAAACCTTCAAACAAATATTCATTGAGGATGAGGGCCAGGTTTGGTACCAGGACTACTATACAAAACCAGCTGGGACTGCCATGGATTTAACTTCTCCTAAGTGTTCTTAGGAGTTCTTAAGCTGCAACTGAGCTTCCCCCACATCTCTGCTGTGAGAAGCCTGGACCCTCCCCTTGCATAGGTCAGTAAAATCACTGTACTCTGGGCCCCCAATGAGCAGCTCAGCAGTCTCCTTGTCCTATTGCTAAGTTGTACTCAGATCTAGTACTAACATTTCTGTATTAAGTGGAAATGGCTAGAAAATAGCCTTCCAGGCAAGTTTTCCCCTGGCCTTCTCTCAAAAAATATTTCTACCTCAACATTTATATTCCAGTCCCCTCTTCTGCATCATCATGAGTATGACTTTCAGGCAGAGGCAGAGGGAATAGGACACATCTGCCAGGGGGCGGAGCACTCTCTGTGAGCTCTTGGCCTGAAGGCCTTCACCATGGTAAGCAGCTGTAGTTCAGGACCAGAAAAGACTCTTACCTTTGAAATAGGAAAAAGTCCCTTGATGGCAGCAAGGTGTGGAACAGGTGTATCTAATATTTTTTGATTGGTATATATTACACAACACCAAGTTTATGTATATGAAAAAATATTCCCGAAGAGTCAGAAAAAAGTCTAGGACAACAAAAACTCCCTTTTGTTTGGGTACAGTACTCTGGAAACTTTCTCCTTTTGCATAGAAAAGGTGCCTGACCTGGAAGCCATGCTGTCATTCACAGAACATGCCTGATTTTTGCTGAAGGACAACCTAAAATGAAAGGGAATGTTTTATTTTCTGAAGATGGTTATTTATGTTAACCAGTGTTCCTTACAGAAATTAGTCAATTGCTATTAATGCCACAGTAAGAGTGGGGCATCACCAGCACCATTTGGGGGCAGACATACTTACTGAATTTTTTGTTATAAAGATGATTCACAGCCGGGCACCGGAGGCTCACATCTGTAATCCTAGCTACTTGGGGGACTGTGATTGGGAGGACTGCAGTTTGAGATCAGCCTCGGCAAATAGTTCATGAGACCCCCATCTCCAAAATAACCAGACCAAAATGGACTGGAGTTTGTGGTTCAAGTGGTAGAGCGCTTGCTTTGCAAGCACGAAGCCCTGAGTTTAAACCTCAATCCAACAAAAAATTAAAAAAAACAAACAAACAAAAAACTGATTCACCTAAGATCAGACCAGCGACTTCGGGTATATCTGGCTAACAAAACTGCCAGAGAGTTGATGTTGAATGACTTCACAGATGTGAGAACATTAATTAGAGAAAGAGCACCAAGCTCAGTGCCCTTCCTTTGAAATAGTAAGGGTACAGGGAACCTGGGTTAGACTGCTGTGTGTTCAGTATGGCCTCACATAAGAGAGCAGACATTAAAGAGGCGAGACTATTGTGTCATTTAAACATCCTAGGCCTAAACTCACCTCAGGCCTTCTTTTCAGGTGTCTGTATCACAGCTTCCTTTGAATCCAGTTTTTGATGTTGTAGATGGAGGCTGTCTAGCTTCTGCATAACTTCTGTAAGACCATTTCTAAGATCTTCATTGTTTCTCAAAAATTCCTTTACCACTTCCAGTTGATTGGAGATCTGCAAGAAGAAATCATACAAAGCACAGCTTAGGATAATTTTTATAGGAGCCTTAGAATTCAAATGACAAACTAGTAGCTTCAAGACTGGCTCCTGTGACTGAAGGACAACATAAAATGCTAGGGTTCGAACCCCTGGGTTCTATTCCCAGCACCCTCCCCACCTGAAACCTCCAGATCTGCTCTTGCTCAAATGTCCACCAAGAGACAGAAATCTTAGCTACAGGAATCTGTACACAGACAGGTTAAGGTTTGAAAATAAGAAACCCTCCACTCAAAGAAAATACAGCCCAGAACACAATCCAGGATAGCTGATTCTGAGACTATACCCTTGTATGCTTGGTCTCCTCAAATGTTTTGCTTTAAAATTTCCTGCATTTATATGAAAAGGTTTCATTTTATACACATAAAATGTCCTCTTCCAAACCCTGTTTCTAGTTACCCAGGCTCCTTTTCCTAGAGGTGACCATAATGAACCACCTCTTCTGTTTCTTTCTGAGATATCCCATGCATTTACAGGTGAACATGTGTGTGAACATTTTTGAAAACACAAATGGCAGTATACTAGACACTATTCTTCAACTGATCTCTTCTGTGGGAAATTATCAAGAGCAGCCTCATTTTTAATAGGTGAATAGTACTCCAACTATGGATGTTTCATATTCTAACATATTTTAGCATAATGCTGCAGTAATTAACCTGTTACATGTGTTATTTTGCATAAGTGACACATCTGTTTATAGGATCTGTTTTTAGAAGTAAAATGCAGTTCTAATTCTGATTGAGTTTGCTATTTTAATTTGAATAGATTTTGCCCCAACAACTATGTATAGAGGTTGTACCAATTAAAACTTGCCCCCAGCAACATAATTCTCAACATTTAAGCTAGAACAAAGAATCACAGAGTAGTACCAGGCAAGTGTTTTCTCTGACCTTATCTCAGAATATTCTCACTGGTCACTGTACTTATTACAAAGACAGGAGGTACTCTTATTTTGGGATGTGGGGAATGTTTTTAGGCAAGTGCTCTATGATTGAGCTACACCATTCCCAGTGCTCAGTGAATGTTTTCAGATGGATGACCCTCAGCTCTATACAAAGTCAAAATTATCTAAAATCTAATGACGAAAAATAGGGCAGCAGCCTGCCCTAGTGGAGTGGTAGCTCTTCTGCTTCAAAGAGCAGACCTAACAGATTGGGTCGTGGTAGGTCCAGCAAGTACTGTTTAGTAGAACACATGGGACTAAAGCCAGATGCTAGATGATATCTGCCAGGAATGGCAGGGAGGGGAAGACTGGAAAGGCTGTGGCTAGGATGACTAGGGAGCAGGGAAGGAAAGGAAGGCACTGAAGATGACATGAGGACTGCAGACTGGTCAGTAAGTAGATTGGGGCCATGCCCTTCAGGTGGAGCTATTAGTTGCACGGCTGGAACCAGCCTAGAACTTTTTGCAAGATGTTAGGCTTTGAATAACAACTTGGAAACCATAAAAACATGAAGGAACTGCCTAGTAAGCATGAAGCCCTGAGTTTAAAACCCCAGTACTGCCAAAAAACAAAAACAAAAACAAAAAAAAACCCATGCAATAAAAACCATGAGCTTTTATGGACCATGCCCAAAGCCCTGGCCACACTTGCAGGGCTATCTGTAGTTCCCAGCTGATGCCCACATGGGACTGCACTGCTGGCTCCATACACCACACGGATCCCAGCAGGACTCCTCGCCCTCTTCTCCTTGTTCTGAGAACTTCTCACTTGGTACCTGGAAGCTGTGTTCCTTGTGCTGCTAATTCTTGACCCTCCTCACAAAGCCTCAAACTGGTTTGTTCCATTCCGTTTAATTCCTGTTTCTGGACTCAGGGGTTTTATGCAAAAACTTCTGTTCTTCCTCTACCACTTGCTCCAGTTCTCTTTTTCCATTCCAAATCACTATTCTTTCTCATTGTTTCCACCAGGAGTGCCTCATAACTGACATATTTTGGATCTTCGGTTTTCCCTTTGTGTAAAGCAATAAATGTGCTTAAGAGGTGTTTGTGGCTGGGGTGATTATTTTAGCTTGACAGCAAGACAGAGTCAAAAGGAGGGTTTAAAAAAAACTATTGGAGCTGGGGGTATGGCTCAGTGCTTCTGTAGCATGTTCGAAGGTTCGATCCTTGGCACTGCACAATTGATTAAAAATTAGTAAGAATAGAGAAGGCTTGTATACATTTATATGCGAAGTGGAAAGAGGAAGTGAAGACAGAAAACTGAAAGCACTAGAAAAATTACAATAGTTATACAAGCTTGGACACTGAAGCCCAGCTTTGTTACTTAACTAGCTGTGTGCTTTGGGCAAGACATTTGACCTCTCAAGCTTACTTCTATGTATTCAAATTATCGATGTTGATACCAATACCATCTGAGTCTTGGGGATGGTGGTTAGAAATGATCTCAGCATTGTAAATGGTACATTCCTTTCTTCCCATGTTCATTTAGTTCATGCTGAATTTGAGGGTCAGTCTACTACATGCCCATCTACTAGGTGTGTAAAGATGGCCAGTATCCTACCTTTATCCTAGGTAAAGGATGCTGAGCAACTTTACTCTTTTAGGTATTTTAAGCCAAAACTCTTGGGCTCGACTTTGACCCCTCTTTTCACATGCCACCACTAGCCACCTCACCACCCCTATACTTTACCCTGGTCTGAACTGCCATCATCTTTTGCCTAGAAAATTGTACTAATATTTCTGGAATATAACAAATGAGGTATGATTTTCTATCCTTTCCCTGATGGCCTAGAGTGCACTTTGTCACCACCCCTTCTCCCTAAGCTTCCCCATGGATCTCTGTGAGGTGGTTACCTCATCACAGATAAAGAAATCAGTAATGACTTTGAAACATGTACAAATTCTTTACAGGTTTTTTTACCCATTTCTTGTATTCAATGTTCTTTAGCTGAATTTTTAAACCCCCAGATCTTATCCCAGCACTGAGGCTGGCAGACTATGTGAAGGGTACTTGGGTGGTAGCCAAATCCTAGGACAAGTGGCCCATGCTGGACACACATTCCCAACATGGTGAGTGGCCTGAGCAGCTGCTGCTCCCATCTGGTTCCAAAGCAGAAAGCATCTTACTCCTACAGCTCTACATGCACAGTGCACTTCAGTGGAAACCCCCTTTCAATAATATGATCTATCATAAAGGTTCATTGAGCTACCAGAAAAGAATAGAGATGCTACATTGTCCCATGATGTGTTGGCGGATACTTCACACTAAATTACCACTATGGACCATTTTTCTCAACTTAGCTTTCCAACCCTAGCTCTACTGTTTTAACAAAATCTAGACATAGGTCTTGGTAAGCATTCACAAAAAAAGGCCTGTGGTCATAACATAGCCACTGTATTTCTTCATTCCTCAATACATGTTTTTTTCTTATTTTACCACCTCAAATGAGAATGCATCTCACCATTGATAGTGTCTTAAACTAGCAGCATTTGTTTTCTTCCTTAGAAGTAACTGAAACAATGTTATGTCTTGCAATTGATAGCATTCACTGAAATGTGGCCTTATCGAGTCATCTGACTTTGGAGACTAGCCCTAGAAAACATGGATAACCTACATGGTACTGAATTTCAGAAAAGGTCAAGTGCCATACATGTGGAAAGCTGACCTTCAACTTCTTTGAGATAACGTGCCAACCAATCCCAACCTACATTCTGATCAAGTGAAATAGGAGAACTGCTGTAGTCTGCTGAACAGAAAGCATGGAAAATGGGAATTTATCAACTCCATGTAGAGACTGTGTGATCCAGATGACCAGCCCATTAACCACTACTTCCTCTCTGTAAGACAGATAACGAGGGTTGGACATGTGCAGTTGTCAGTGCCTCAGTGATACCAGATCTGCAGGAAAGCCACAGGACCAGAACGGGAAGACCTCCAGCCAGCCTTACCCAAGCACCAGCGACCTGGGACCCTGGCCTCACCTTTACAGCAGGAGTGATGATCAAATGATTGCCAGGCTCCCTTCCAGCTCTTGGACAGAGACTCCTGATGAGCTGGTTGCTTCTTATATTTTGCTCTTTGTCACATAAAGAGAGAAGAATGAACCAGTAATGACTAAGGGGCAGTGAGAGCCTGGTCCTCTGGTTGTCTTCTCTTGCTCTTTCCTACTTCTAAAAGAAGCAGTAGGAAGAAAACTAGGGCTAGTTTTAATGCAATTTTAAAGTACAGTGACACAACATGTAAATTTAGAGAAGAGAAGATTTAATGTCATCATTAAATCTAAGTCATCATTTAAGAAATCATGGCCAGGTGATGGAATGGCTCAAGTGGTAGAGCGCCTACCTCACAAGCGTGAGGTCCTGAGTTCAAACCCCAGGACCACCACCAAAGAACAAAACAAAACAAAACAAAACAAATCCAAACCATGGCAGGCACACCCAAACAGTGGCGGTACCTGGTCATCAAGCTAACGCTAACTGACCTCATCATGCTGACTGAAGCATAGGATCAAAGTAAACATGGTTAATATAGTCCTACTTACCAGGAGATGTGATGTAGTGAGTGAAATACACACTTTTACATTAAATAGATACTCCCCTGTGTTAAATGAGGTCATCAGAAAACCCACTTGCCTTAGACAAGGAGGAATGGAGAGTGCTGGTAATCTAGAATTCTAACTAAGCCAGGTCTGGAATCTCTCTGAACCTTACTAGAACACAATTCTACAATTGTTAGTTTCTTTTAGACCTTACACATAAATAACTAAGGAGTCTCGTGTCGCTTGTGCTTCTATCAGGGCTAAGACCATCACTAGTCTTCAGGTCCTAAGATAGAAACCGTTATGACCTTCTAGCCCATCTCCCCTTCTTCCAGTGTCATGCCATGTCCCAAGTAATGTACCAAGTCACTAAGACCCATTAGCTCTGCCTAACAAAGCCTCCAAAGTCTGGCTCCTCCTCCACAGCCTCTCACCCTCACTGCAAGAGCCTTCTGGATAATCTCTGGTCATTTATCCAACCTCAAACTGCTATAAGAATTTACTTTCTAAAAGCCACATCAGATTCTTTTGCTCTTTCTTGCTTAAAAACATCTGTTGCGTCCCTGAGTTCTGGGAATAAGGCTCAAACCCATTGGTGTGGCACAGAAAACCTTCTAAAATATGGTTTCAACCACCATACCATGCTTTTCTACCTGTGCTCACCTGGCCATTGCCAAGTTCCAAACTAGTCTTTCATGTCATTCCATATGGTGTTCCCTCAGCCAAGAGCATACTTTTTCCCTTGCCAATTTTCCAAACTCCTATCGAATCCACGAAAACATTCACTTCTGGAAATTACTCACTTGTAAATCAGAACCCTAACTGGTTCTGTGTCAAAATGAGCTGCTCCTCCCTCTTTCCTCACTCACAGAGAATCTAATCCTTTCCTTTACCTCTTCAGAAAACACTTCTTGTTCTTCCGCTTGACGGTATATCTCTTGTAGTTTTTCCTTTAGTAATTCCATTTCGATTTCATTTACTTGGCTCACACTCAGGTAACTTCCTATTTCACATTCACGCCCATCTCGTTGATCTTCCTCAGGGATGTGAACAGCCCAGTCAGATGTCAATAGCTGTGAGACCACACAATTATATGAGCTGATTTATTTTTAAAACATTATAATTATTTTGTAAGGTTTGGGGTGGAACCCATGGCCTTGCACACACTAGGCAAGTGCTCTGTATCTGAGCTATATCGCTAATCCGTTGAACTGCTTTAATGGAAAAGACATTCCATTGAATTACACAAAGAATTTATAATTAAACACCATTAATTGGAATCACATTAACCACACATTATTATTAAAGAAAAGTTTCTTGGCTTGGCATAATTCCAGATTTCACATTAGCACTCTTTCCTTTGCTCATATTCTAAAATTTAGTTTGGGGCTAGGATGTAGGTCAGTGGTAAGAATGCTTGTCCAGAATGGGTGAGGAGGCCCTGGGTTTCATCCCCGGCACACACAAAACCCCTCAAAATAAAATGAAATAAGGTCTGGAGCAATAATAAAAACATCATGGTATTGGCATAAAAACAGATACAAAGACCAATGGAACAGAATAGAAGACTCAGGCACAAACCCAGGCAACCATTTTGAGTTTTGACAAAGAAGCCCAAAACATGTGTTGAAGAAAAGATAGTCTCTTCAACAAATGGTGCTGGGAAAACTGGATATCCACTGTAGAAGATTGAAACTAGATCCCAGCCTCTCACTGTGTACTAGTATCAATTCAAAGTGGATCAAAGATCGCAATGTAGCACTTGAAACTGCAAACTGCTACAGGAAAGAATAGAAAAAACACTGGAATGTATAGGCATTGGTAATAACTTCCTGAACAGAACTCCAATAGCTCAGCAATTAACAGAAAGGATTGACAAATGGGACCGCATCAAATTAAAAAGCTTCTTTATGGCAAAGGAAACAGTCACCAGACTGAAGAGACAGCCTACAGAATGGCAGAAAATCTTTGCCAGCTATACATCTGACAAGGGATTAATAACCAGAATACACAAGGCACTCATAAAACTAACACTGCAAAGAATCAAACAACCCAATGAATAAATGGGCAAATGAACTGAACAGGCAATTCTCAAAAGAAGAAGTACAAATATATGAAGAGACGCTCAACATCCTTGACCATAAAGGAAATACAAATCAAAGTGACACTAAGATTTCATCTCATTCCAATCAGAATGACTATTATCAATAACACAAACAGCTGGGCACCGGTGGCTCACATCTGTAATCTTAGCTACTCAGGAAGCAAAGATCAGGAAGATCATGGTTTGAAGCCAGCCCAGGCAAATAGTTCAAAACACTCTATCTTGAAAATACCCAACATCAAAAAGGGCTGGCAGAGTGGCTCAAATGGAAGAGCACCTGCCTAGGAAGCATGAGGCCCTGAGTTCTGAGTTCAAACCCCAGTACTACCAAAAAACAACAAACAAAAAAAACAAAACAAACCCCCACAAACAACAAATGTTGGCAAGGATGCAGGAGAAAAAGGAACCCTTATCCACTGTTGATAGGAATGTAAATTAGTGCAAGTACTATGGAAATTCCTCAAAAAACTAAAAATAGGGCTGGAAACATGGCTCAAGCAATAGAATGCCTGCCCAGCAAGCATGAAACCCCGAGTTCAAACCCCAGTACTGCAAAAACAAATAAACAAACAAAAAACTCACTCCCCCCAACCAAAAACTAAAAATAGACCTACTGATCCAATGATACCACTCTTGGGCATATACCCAAAGGAATGTAAGTCAGGTTACAATAAAGGCACCTGCACACCCATGTTTACTGAAGTATTATTCATAATAGCAAAGCTCTGGAAACAGCCCAGATGCCCTACAACTGATGAATGGATGGATTAAGAAGATTCGGTATATATACACAGTTCAGCCATAAAGTAGAATGAAATTTTGTTGTTTGCAGATAAATGGATGGAACTGGAGATCATCATGCTAAGCAAAGGAAGGCAGGTTCAGAAGGACAAAGGCCACATGTTTTGCCCTATCTGTGGAAGCTAGACCTAAAAGATAAATGTATACATAAATATATACATAATCTTATATACATACATACATATGTACATGCACATACACAGAGAACAAGATTGTAATAGTGGGTCTGTCAGAGGGGATGGGGCGGGGTATGAGAGAAAAAGAGAATGCTAGAGAGTGAATAATAACAAAATACATTTCATCTGTGTATGAAGACAGTATAACGAAACACACTGCAAGCTGCTGAATAACAGGGGCGTAGAGCAATAGAGAAAGAGTAAATAATAGAGGGGGTCGATCTGATTAAAGTACAATATATGCATGTGTGAAATACCACAACAAACCCCCCTTAGAATAATCAACATATACTTAAAAAAACAAAGGACAGAAGGTCTAATGGGTCCTACCCTGGGGTGGGTACCAGTGGGAGGGTAAACAGAGAGGGTAAAGAAGGGCAAATACAGTGGATATACTTTGTATATGTGTATGAAAACTGAACAATGAAACCTGTTGAAATTGTTGTTAAGAAAGGGGAAAGGGGATGAAGGAGAATGAAGTAGAGGGGAATCTAATTAAGACACATTATAAGCACATATGTAAATGTCAAAATGAAACCCCCTGTAGACCTAATATATGCTAATAAAAATGTTTAAGAAAAATAAGGGCTGGAGGTGAAGTTCAGTGGTAGTGCTTGCCTAGCATTTGTGAAGATCTGGGTTGGATCCCAACCACCACACACACAAAAAAAATCTAGTTTGAAACTAATAATGTCAAATTTTAAACGAGTGACTGCTTGCTTATGATTCCTTAGTTCTTTATGCCAGAACTGTTAAATAGGAGGTCTACCTGTTCTATTCTGGAGTACACTGCCACAATCTCTGGGATGTTCCTGAATTCATTCAGAAAATTTTGGATCTTCTTATGAAAATCTCGAAGCCATGTAGATGAGACTTTCATCTCTGAAGAGTGCATGATCTCATTACGACACTTGATCACCTGCAAAATATATCATTTTTTCTACATATTACAAATAATCCAGGGTACTATGTACTCTTTCTAATGACCCTCAGAGTAATACATGTGTATGAGTTGTTCTCTGGTAACACAGCAAAAAACTTAAATCTCCCAGAGGAAATCTGACAAGCATAGTGATCTATTCTGACAGTGCTATGCATTAGTGTTTTCTTCAGTTCTATGTAATTTGGTCTTAACAACCAAATGAGATTCTGAAGGCCAGGATTCAAACACTGGCATACAATAGACAAGAATGATGCATTACTATTTTCCGTTGTTGTTTTGTGGTGCTGGGGTGGAACTCAGGGCCTCATGCAAGACTCTACACTGAATCACATCCTCTAATTTTTTTTTAATATGAAAAATTACTTTGCCTCTGTTTATGGCAGAGCAGGGAAGAGAAATCTGAGCTTCATCTATTTCAGTGGCAAATGGCACAGGCACAATAACAAGTTGTCAGGAAACCTGAATTAGGGAGAACTGTAGGGGTAGTTCTTGACCACATTCGTTCTAGGGTTCTTAGACATCACAGCAGGTGTGTATGATGAGCCCCATGAGCCTGCCTAGTGATGCCAACTTTGGGCCAAAGTCTACCTTTCTTTGCACACCACTGTTCTGAGGGGCTAACGTGCTATGCCTGTATGGCTGGCTTAATGTCACGGGGTATCTCACCACTGGCCTTCCCAGTACTGACCTGACTAACTCAATGTATGGTTTTGAATCTGAGCTCTTACCTCTGTGACTTTCTTTCGATCAACCATGAAGTGATCACAGGAGTTGATAAGACTTAAAAGAGCTGCGGCATCACACTCCTCGGGTCCTCGTTTGTCTGCCAGTCCTCGGGGCATGAAGGCCTACAGCAGGGGAGGAACGAGGGGCACCTGAGCCTCCTCTAACTCTAGGAGTTGGAGAGGCAATGTTACTTGGACAACTGAAATTCTCCTACCCACTGAAGTGTCAAGCTAGCATCTCATGAGTTCAAAATGCAAGTGGGGAAAACAGTGTCACAGCTAAGCCTTGGCCAAGGGCAAGAGTTGCAGGCTTCTGCTATTAGATATAAATGACATAACTTTTTTTATCCTGTTATGTGCCATTATGGCACATAAACAGAAGAAAGGGTAAAAGTTATCTTTTTTTTTCCCTTGTCCTTACTGAAATTTTAGTGGCTGAAATGTTTAAAAAGACTTAAAATAATACAGCTGCTCCAAAGTGCCCTGAGAAAGTTCAGTATGGTAGCATTTATTGGTAGCATTAAAAATGTGGTCAGAGCTAGGTTCAAATGCCAATTTGGCCACTTGCCAGCTGTATGACCTTAGGCAACTTATCCACAGATCCCTTGTCAATAAATGGGGGATAACTGTCCTCATCTACCTCAAAGAATGATGTGAGAATTAAGTAGTGAATGCAGGTAGAGCACTGGCAGGTCATAAATACTAACAATTATTGTGTCAACAGTGCAAGGTGAGTAGGCTCTACATAGGAGTGACAGAAGGAATCCTAGGATTTGACACACTAGATGCTCCAGAAGGCCTCATTTAGCACTATCTTGCCTTCAGTAAGATTTTATGACATGGACCACAAAAAACGGTAGCAAGACGTGGGTGTATATCTTTCTTGAAATATTTCCAAACTTACATCTAGATGCAGCATCTTTATCAGGCTAAGAGTCTCAAGGGTACATTCCTACCAAGGGACTAGAACAGATGACATATGAAAAATGTCCATAAGAACTCTAAATAAAAGAGATTTGTTCCACTGAGAGCAAGCACATTTCAGCAAGCAAGCAACTATGATGCCTCTTACAGTGCTGCTTGTACTGGTATTCCAAAAATGCTGGCACTGCTAAGGCACTCCAAGGAGAGTCAGGGTTATTTTGTTCCTGATGGTGGGGGAATCATACACTTGAGCCTCACATAATTTAGAAAAATTTTATGTACTGAATGACCCCTATGAAAGTTCCAGCAACTAGTACCATTGCTCTCTGTCTCAATACCCACTAACAAGCTGACCTTCTGAAAGAAGTCTATCATGGATCCTACAAAAGCTAACAAGGATGCTAAGTAACTTACACAGGCAAATGAATGCAACAAAACTGAAGAAAAGAAACTACTTAATTCATTTGTTGTTGAGAGGAAAATGCAGTGAGAGGGGCTTTAGTTGCCTCCAAACCAGGTGTAGTTTTTCTTTTCCATTATAAAGTAGGTTCTGTCTGGCATTTTCTCACTGATACAAACTCATCTTTCCCAAGTTACAGCTTTATCTTCCTTGCAGTGAAAGCAGCATCTTAAAAATTTGTATTGCATATAGTAAATGCACAGGAGAGCAGGATGTGAGACATTGAGACTTCCCATGCTCACAGAGTGTGAGCATTCAAGGCAAAGGCTGAGGTAGAGTAGGCCAATGAGGATATAACAGGGAGCCCAGGGGACTGAAAGGATGGGGTTAGAGAGGGAATATACACCCAGGATTGGATTAGAAGGTCTGCAGGTGACCAGACAAGAAGAGGAAAGATTGGTATAAGCAGGCAGTATGGGCTTCAAGAGGATTCTAAGGCTGTAAAAGCAGTAATGGAGACCAAACAGGTGAGAGGCAGCCACAGAAAATAGAGTCTTGGTTAAGTTTCATTTTTTTCCCTTTTCTAGGTAAAAACAGAAATTAGCAACTCTATGCAATGAAAAATGTGGGAATGAGGATGTAAGTGTGATCCATGATAGCCAAGTTTGGGGACCACAGACACAGTTTAATTTCTTCATTTTTGAGGGTTAGGGAGCAGGGGTTGGGCCTTGATCATCTGCTCCCCAATGCCAACCCTGTGTCTGCTACTAACTGACATCTAGACTGACTCAAAGTTAATTCGCATTAGGAAACCATTTCTAATTGCTCCTCTCCACTCACTGGGCTTCTGGCAAACGTCACGAAGTCGGAAAAAAAAATTCCCAATGGGCCTGGCTAGGAAGTTACATTGCCAAAACCTGAAGTCGAGCCTAATAGCCCATCTTTATCCAGGTGCTTACCCCCTCTCCACCTCCTGTAGTTTTATTCCTTAGCTGGGCACTTAGCGGTCCTGTTCTAGTCCTAGCTTCCTTTGGCTTCCGCTGCCATTCTACAGCCCAAATGAGCCATTCTGTGAACCTATGGTGAAAAATGTCTTACTCGTTTCTCCCTCCATGCCTATGCTCAGGATGCTGGGTCTACATCTTGCCCCATATCTCCTGTTGAAACCTTTCCCATAGCTTTCCAAGCAGGGGCGGGGAGCAGAGAGGTAGAAGAAAGCGGCCCCTGTACTAAGCTGAGTTGGGTTCTTCTCAATGGCCTCCTAACCACTTAGACACTAGACCTTACATAACCACTCATCTCTCTGCACCACTGTTTATATTATAGTGACTGGGCTTCCAGACAGCCTCACCAGCCGCAGGCGCTTACCTTGGCCACCTCCCACGCGTCGACGGGCCACCGGCCCGGCTGGCAGTTCCCCCAGTACACGTCTCCATTTCTGTTGAGGTGATGTTTCAAAATCTCCCGTTTCCACTCTGCGCACGCCTGGCACTGAGGCTGAAACTACAGGGGGCAGCGGTGAGGAGGGGTCCGGGGGAGAGGGGCGGCGTCTGGGAAGCTGAGCCTCTGGTGTCGCGGTGGGCTCGCGGAGGGAAGAGGACACTGCGCTCTGGGACTGGGACAGGAATAGGGATGGGGTGGGGGGTAGCAGTCAAGGCCCCGGGTCAGGAGCTCACCTGGCGAGCGCGCGGGCTGCACCGTGAGCCGCCGCTGCAAGAGGCGCGGAGGCCCAGGCCAGGGGCGGCGGCGAGCAGGCCGCGGTGGAAGGCGAGCACCTCGCGACCGATGAAACCCTGCAGGCAGCTGCGTAGCAGAAGCAGACAGTGTCCTGCCTTCACCCAGTTCTTGTACTCGGCGCAGTTGAGGCGCACGGCCAACTCCGACAGCACCATGTCCGGCTCCAAGGCCCGGGCCGGGCAGGCGGAAGTGCGTAAGCGCCGGCGCCTGGGAGTTACCCAAGGCGCAGGCGCTGCCGCACCCTGAGGCCGCGTCCATGCGCAGTGGCTGAGAGCGCGGCGCTGCGTCACTGATCCCGCGGGCGGGACGCTTTAGTTTCCCGGACGCGCCAGTCCCGCCCTTTAAGGGGACCGCTCATGTTTCAATACCTCCATTACCAAGGCAGTTTCTGGTTGAAACCTTTAAGCCCTCTTCTCTGTCCCCAAACCCATACTCTTCCCAGTCTCCCAACTGGACTCCTTCTCCTGATGTAGGGCTCTTTTAACTACTTTGAGATTATAAAGTGCTCAAGGTACCTTTTTAATGTATTTTCCTTGCATTACGCAATTCTGTAAAACTAACTGGTTCCTAAGTCCAGACTACCTATAGAAAATCCTGACATCAGTGAAACGTGACCTTTGGCTGCCAGTACCGCACATCTGTTGCGCGGCCGCAGTGTGCCAAGCTGAGACAAAACTCAAAAAACTCCGCGACTAGGCCGTCTGGCAGAGGCAAACAGGGCAACGCCATTTCCTCGATTCTGGAGGGCTGCACAGCCGCTAACCAGCACTCGGAAGCATAGGCAAAGGTCAAACGATGGCTATATAGACTGAACAGGGCAGTCTGATTTAAGTTCCAAGTGCCATAAAGCAAGCAGATTGTCAACTGCAACTGACCAAAAGCCATGTTTTAGTTGCTTTTTGTGACTTTGGGCTTGGAAATATCTCAAAATTGTGTGTAGTCAAAAGGCTGAGGCAGAGTGTAAACACTGACGCCTTCTACTGTCTGCACAACGTTTAGGAATATTAGCTCTGGAATCAAACTGCCTCTTCTTAGTGGTTTGATAGGTGATTATAATTTCATCCAAAGAAAATTCATTTGGGGGGGCCTATTTAGAGTCTGTAAAGGGAAGATACTGATACTTCATAGAGTGGTGGGGGGTGTTAAATATACATAGAAACACTTATAACAGTGCCTGGCACACAGTAAGCTCTTGGTAAATATTAGTTATTATTTTACATTGACCTAAATATGCCCTTTCATTAAGGGCATATTCTTAGGGTGTAGTAACAGATCATGGGCCACTCAGAAATGCAGGCAATTTACAGAAAATTGCGAGCAGATCATGGTGTTCTTGGAGATGTGTACCACAGTGCAGGCTGGCTTTTGCCCGTCTTAATCACCTCAATTCCAAATCCTTCCTAAGTAAATTCAAATACCCTCCAACACCCTGCCCATTCCCACCAAACAAAAAAGAAAATTCTACAAAAAACAATGAAACCTACATTAACATTTTTCCTTTCTGACCCTTGAATGTAAGTTCTCTTAAAACTTTCTGTGAGTTAATTTTATACCAAGAACACTGACAGTGGGGTGTGGCGGCACACACCTGTAATCCCAGCACTCTACAGGCTGAAACAGGAGGACTGCTTGAGCTCAGGAGGTGGAGGGCAACACTGGACCCTCTCTCTTAAAAACAGTGTGATGGCTGTTCTTTTGGGGAGGAAAAAAAAACACCCATGAAAGGAAGAACTTTTATGTTGAAATTGTGTCAGAATTCAGAGTAGCAGAGTTATACTTCTTGTAATTATAGAATTAACTACAGCCCTAGGAGTGACTGTTAGCATCCTGTAGCTGAACAGGTTACTGTGTTAAACACAAAAAAGTTATTAGTGGTATTTAAACTCAAAACCACGGTTTATTTTAATTTATGTTTGTGCTTAGCTCACTCAGTTAATTTTGAAATGTAAGGTTCAGCTCCTGTTATTAATAATTCAGTATATTCTGTTGAAGTCTTTACTCTCCTCCAAATTCTAAAAGTACTTCCATATATTTTTGAAACAGCATTTCAACTGATGTTAAAAGGAAGATGGCAGATCAGGACCAATTACTTCTTTCAAGTTTAAGCTAATACTAAACCAGACTACAATACAAAAGGTTGTCACCAAAATTAACTAGAGAGTTGGTAGTTCTCTGAAACTCATGTAAATTTTTATTTATTACTGTAAATACTAAAATTACATGGAAAGTACCTTAAAATTAAGTCCCAAACCGTCTACTAGGGAAAAATTGCTATAGGTATCCAGTCCCTCTGATCGAACCTGAGTAACAAAAGAGGCAAAAGACATGGTTTGTGATGAAACTTCGATTCCATTGCTAAATGTTTTCAAGCTTTAATAAAGTATATATCAATTCCAAGTATCAAGCATGATATCAAAATTCAAATTCATGGATTTACTCTTAATAAGCATCAAAAGCAAATTCTATTCACTGATTCCTATCTTTTGATTTGCACAATGCATCCAAAGGTGAGTAATAATTAGGAAAATGTCCATTGAATGCATCATGTATAAAAATGCAATTAAACATTTCAAAATCACACTTAAAAAGGGAAAATACCTGAAAAGTTAACTCTATTAATAAAATTTGACACAATATCATCCTGCAGATAAAAATACATTTCTTATATATACATGTAGATTTCTACATGAAAGAAAGGGATTCAGCTCCAAACAGAAAAGGGCTGATCCCCGATAAAGGTATGTTAGATTGCCAAACCAATGTGAGGAGAAACAGAAAATAGAAAGATAAAAAGGTAAGTTAAAGGAAAGATAAAAGTTTAGTCACCTACTCTGGAATAGTGGCAGAGTTGGGTGAGAAGCAGGAGACAAAGGCAGAAAATAAGACACAGAAGACAAAGAAGGTCTCAACTCTGACCAGAAATAGGAGAATCAAGCAAAGTTGAGAACAGATATGACACAGTTGCAGTGAGATGCTTGAAACTAGAATTTTGGTATTAGAGTTATAGAAGTTCAATTAAATCATCTTAAAGTAGAAATAGACAAGGCATCTAAAATTTAATGGAGAACCAGTATTACAATGACTAGATAATTTAGCATGGTATTATCATTTAAAAATTTTTTTCCAAATAACAACAAGTCACCAGAAGACCTTTGCTTTAGATCATGTTCTTTGAAGCTTAAAAAAGTCCTTGACCGACTGGGAGATATAGTATAGTGTTCCAAAAAGAAACCCTGCTGAGAAGTGTCAGTACCAGAAACTCCATTGGACTCTGGACAGGCCTTGAGTCTTCAGGACTCTTAAAAATGATTGGACCAGGTTTCTTTCAAGTAAAAAATTCTATCATTTTGTTGACTACGAGTTAAATTGAGACTGTCTGGAACGACCCCAATTTTGGTGGGGAAGGCAAGAAGTAAGATAAAGAAAAATCACAGAACTTCATGCAAGGGTGAGCACTAAAGTTTTTTGTTTCCTAGTTAATGCTATATGCAGAAGTATCTTGTAAATGAAATTTGCCTAACAGAAAAGTTTCCATATCCTCAACAGATGAGAATGACTGCATTATTTGAAATCCTTGATCAGTATAAATTACTGTCTTTTCTCAAAAACATGATTCTTTTTTTTTTTACCCAAATCCTACATTGAAAGGCAACTGAGGTGCTAAATGTTACCACCTCTCAAGTTAGGAATGTCTGAAGAAAAAAACTTAACCTTTAAACAAAGATGTTTTTGGTCAAATTTCAGACATATATTATTAGAAAATTACTGGCCCCACCAGGTTAAAGATAAAGGGAGGCCCTAAGAAGTCTAGAGAGCTTATACACACACAAGTGAGTGTCACTTTTTTAACCTAGTTTTATTAAATATTGCTTCCTTGGGATGTGTTTATAACAACTCCCAGAACATTTTCATGTAAGGATTCAAAGCAGTCATATTAAAATACAGCTTCAATATAAAGTTTGTCACAGTTTTACAGTATTCAAAAATGACAGACCTGCCTTAAAAAACAAAACAAAAATCAAAAAAGGACTATTACACCCAAAACATAAGAAAACAATTAAATAAACAAGTTTGGCATTTTCATAACTTTATAGTATAAAACAGAATATTAAATCTATAACTGGCAAGCGGACACTGATGTATTACCTAGTTTGAAACGTGTCCCATTTAAACACACTATACAAGTTCACTATACAAAAGATTGATGGTCTTTTTGATGAAAGAAGTGCACCCTGAAAGATTCTGCCAGTTTAGAATATTTAGCTCTTAAAGTCAAAAAAAATGTCCTTTTTCTTTTTTTAAATTGAAGGCTGAATTCAGACTTTTTTTTGTTGTTTTGTCTCATTTGTCAGCCTTCCTGGTTTAAAAACAATAGTGTCTATGGACGCCCACCAGGGGGCAGTGTAAGATTAGCCATTAAATCACGAACAGCTGCAAATATTGTGCATTCACCTGCAACAGAGAAAAATGGTCATTAGCTATTCGCAATACAGGAAAGATGATGTTAACACACCGGTGGGGGAAGGGGAAATTAAATCTAAAATTAGTAAGAACTTTAAAGATCAAAATAAAAGACTAAGTTTTAACTGTGTAGCTACTAGGAGATTCAACTGTGGTGTGATACCTAAGAGTATATTTGGTTTAGATTTTGTGTTTTTACTCAGGAGGATATTTTGGGCAAGTCCCAGCTACATTTGGATATAGGAAGACAGGCCTAAGGTTGTATAGAAACAATGTTGCACTGGATAAGCCTTTAAAGTTGGGGTTTAAAGTTTAGGGCTACTGACTGCTTATGCGTTTTTTAATCTAATGAAAAGATTTAATTTATATTTACGTGTTATTAGTTACAATTTTGGTGGTATCCCTCCAATGTTGCATTAAAGGCCAGATAAAAATGTCTCCTACAGCACTGTCTGGAAGAACTTTCTGTAATGATGGAAATGCTGTATATGTGTTCAGTGGCTACCAAGCATTTGTAATGCAGCTAGTCTGACTGATACTGAATTTAAGTTTAATTTAAAAACTAAATTTTATTTCATTTTAAGTTAAGTAGCCACATCTGGCTACTGACAGTTACATTGGACAGTACAGGTTTGACACCTATTGGAGATTTCTTCCAAATTTCAAGGAAACAGTCAACTTCTGCAGCTCAAGATTAAAATGAAAATCAATTAAATACAACAATTAAGTGATTTATTTATTGCTTTATTTTATTTTGAGACAGAGTCTTGCTATATAGTCCAGACTGGCCTTGAACTCAAGATCCTCCTACCTTAGCTTCCCGAGTGGTGGGATTACAAGCATGTGCCAACACACAGGACTGTGATTTTTTCCTTCAAAGCACTTCACCATGGGAGAAGTGATGGGTATGGGAGGAGGGCAGGGAGGCTAAAGTACAGCATATCAACAATTCAAAAATAAAATTTATTGAGAAGACTGATGACTCACCCTCTCAGTTTCCCCTTTGTCTATCACTTCTTGTAAATACTGCAGATATTTAAATATTGTAACCCAAAAGCTGGATCCCTTCCACTAGAGCATAGTCTGACATTACAGTGGCAGTAAGTGAGAGAACTGAAGACCTCATGTGAATCACGGCCTTCTGGTAAAAGGCAGGATGTGCAGTGACATTGTGCAAGTCACTGCCAACCTTCTCTCCAACCACTGGAAAATTAAGGCACAAACGAAAAGGAAATCCAAAGGTTTGTCCAGCCAAAGGGGGAGAAAAAAAGAAAAAACTTCCAAAATATCTCACCAATTTCTTAAATAAAAGATGTGTGTGTGCGTGACACACACACGCACACACACACTTTTTAATAACTTTCATTGATAGGTAGAAAAATTTGCTGATCCCAATAGAATCAAAACATTTTCCTTTTAATTTTAAATTCCACAAGACATAATACATAAAAACACGTAAGATAATGATAGTCATCTATTTGTGAAGGAGTGGTTGTTGATTATCAAAGTTCTATTTTCTGCTACCTTAAGAATTCTGATAGCTTTAAAGTTTGGTTCTTGAGGACCTAGTTTCAGCTGAAAGAGGAGAGAAGTCAAAGGATGAAAGCATAAAGTTGTAAGAAGTAGAAGTATTATAACAAAACAAGCATATTCTTCTCTACTGCCCAGTGTATTCCTTATAAACTGAGAACTCACCTAGATACTGTATGGGGAAGCAAACAGCTAAAAATATCATTTCTTTCATGATTCCTAGAACTATGATACTGTGGTACCTAAAAATGTTTCAGAGAACAACTTTCCCTCATTTACCAGAATTCTGTTGTCAAGCTATTCTAAACAGAAAAATAAAGAGGAATTCATAATATTAGAAATAAGTAAAACTTAAATTTTCTTAATATTAGAAATGAGTAAAATAGTAGAAAAGTTCTCTTTGCCAAGCTGTTTTGTAACCCCAAATTTAGCACTGCTAGGAGTTACATGTTAAGTGTAGGCTACTCCAGTATTGAAGGGACTTTATCTTTCTAGAAACATTCTGGTTTCCTCAGGTATGTTGAGTTTGAGAGCTTCGTTGTGCACTTGGTGAAAAGGTTCACTTGCACCCGCCTGATATTTATATAAGAAGCCCAAAAAGCAGTGGTGCCATTTGTATCAGCTTTTATTCTTCACAAAACATTTAGATAGAAGATACAGAACTTTTAATGATAGTATTCTATTCATGATTGAACCATGAAATATGAGAAACCAACATGCATTTCGACTTTGTGATGTACAGAGTGGCAGGTATTGATGGCAGGGCAGGAATTCACAGCCATGGAAAATTCTATCATCCTAACCTAGAACTTTTGTGGCAATGTGTGCTATAAATACAAGCTTCTGGCATTAGCAACTGAGTCAGTCCCAATAGTAAATCACTAACAGAAAATAAAGTCCAGGCAGCAGAGAAATGGACAAAAAATGAAAAACCGTGAGAAAGGAAGAAAGCGACAGGCAGACATTAAGAGGGCCACAGCAACGAGCTTCTATTACTGGGATTGGGGAAGTGGAGTGGCTAAGGAGGGAGAAGAGGAGAGAGAGGAGTGTCTCTCAAAAGAACTTTTATGACATATATGCAATAAAATACCGTCTACTGGTCATGTACCTTGTCGTGGTGGATTCATCTCTGCAAACCTCTTCAGAATGTTGCTGACCATCATGGGAGCAGCAACAGAAGAGTTCTGCTGTCTGGGAATGTCTGCCTGCTGGGTTGTACCTGAAGCCATGTCATAAATGATTGGAACTATAATACTAACTGGTTCTTGGGGAGGGACTGGTGTTTTCTGAGTTAGTTGAAGCTGTAGACACACAAAGAGAATAAAAAAAACAAAATAAAGTATTTGTCTAAATTTGTCATTTACTATACTTTCATATTAAGACATAGCAATCAAAAGAAAATTAAATATGACAAGGAAAGTCACAACTGAATATTATGGTTAGTCACACAATTACCTAGGTCAATAAATTTGTATTAATACTAACATAACCAAGACCCCATGAAGTCTAAACTGACAATTAAGGAATTTGGGCCTGTATTTGGCAGCAATGGATAATTTATCCAGTTAGCCAAAGCTCTTCTATTACCCTACATGGCTTTTTTTCTCAGAAGCTCTGCACAAACAGATGTTGGGTGGTACTTACAAAAAACAGCATTTTGGATTTTAGCACTACAGCAGGAGTCCCAGGAGGTGCAATTGGTGGTGCACTGGGAGGGATGGTCAGGCAAAACTGGACATTCCATTTTAGCTGTGTTGCCTGGTCAGGGAACTGTTTTGGAAAAATAAAAAATCATAACAAAGTCAATTTAAAATCATATTCTAATACAGGAGTCTGAAAAGTCAGAATTTAATTTTATATCCAATTATTCACAGAATATGAAATTGATAACCTATATTTTTTTTCAAAAGAAATATATACATGAAATAACAAAGTGAAAAGTCAACTCTGAATTTTTTTAGTATGTTCCCCTTCCCTTCCTTGCCACTTCATGAAGTCCAAAGGCCTACAGTTCAGTTTCTACAGTGTCTCTGATACTTAGTCCCTCTTATCTAAATTCAGGGCTCTATTACCTTTCCCATGGTCCCAGAATCTCATAACCTTTCCAGTGGTTGCCTCTCCCAGTCTATCCTTATACTACTGTCAGTCATATATCTGGGTATGGTTCTAATCAAGCTCAAAAATGTTCAGTGATATTCAGTGTCACATGCTTCCTATTGAAGGACTAACACCTGACAATGAAGAACCTTCTTGACTGGTGTCAATTTAGACTTCTAAGTCCTGTTTCTAACTCCTTCCCCAAACATAAACTAGTCAAACTGTGTTTATGATTTTAAATTATATTCACTGGTATTTTTACAGACAATCCTTTAAAAAGAACTCCTTTAAAATCTCAAAGGTTTCTTTCTGACATAAATGTCTGCTACAGCCTATCATATCAGAAGCCAAATCTTGAGACTATTAACAAAAGAACACTGCTTCCCCAATACTAATAATATAATATCAACTAAAAGAAAGAGTGAGGTAGTAGAGTTACTCAAATCAACACTAGAAACATTAAAATGAAAAGACTACTGTAAGACTGAAAAAATATAGTCAGCTGTTACCTGGATTCCATCTATATGATTGTAGGAAATAACTAGAGCTACCAAAAGTACAAATGTAAACTAGGAAAAAATATTTACAACTGAGATGAGGAAGTAGCTTGGTGTGGAACACTTGCCTAGCATGTACAAGGCCCTGTGTTCAATCACCAGCCCTGCAAAATAAATAAACAAATCTGAAGGGGCTAACTTCTCTAATATACAGAAAGCACCTACAAATCAGTAAGAGAAAGACCTAAAAAATGTAAAGATTAATAAAACTTAACAAGGATGTAAGAAGGCGGGTACTATTATCCTAAATTGCTACTAGAAATATAAACTGGTGTAACTAGGCCAGTTGGAGAACAATTTATCTATCAAAACTACAAGCATACATATTTTTGGATCCATCAACTCATTCTAGAAATGGAACCTGCAGATAAATTGGCACATCCATAAAAAGGCTCTTTATTGTGGCCCTTTTATAATAATAGCAAAATATTAGAATCCACGAAAATGATCACCAAGTGCTTAGGCACTTTAATATATTCATATAAAGAAATATTAAGCATTGTTTAAAAAGGAAAACACAAGGACATTCTTTATGCACAGATATCCAAAGATCTTCAAGATTTGCTTAGTGAACTAAGCCTCCTCCAGTTCAGGCAACATGCCCAGGTCCATATCCTAGAAATCACTTCTACCACAAACACTAACATTGGGATGGAAGTGTTATGGGTTGAACGGAGTGACTGAAAAAAGATACGAAGCCCTAATTCCCAGTACCAGTAGAATATGACCTAACTTGAAAATAGGGTTTTTGAAGATATAAATTAAAAAGAGATCATCAGGTGAGCCTAAATATAATATGGTGGTTGTCTATTTTAAGAAGAGAAAGAGATACAGGGAGGCACAGATTAGAGTGATGCATATACAAGCGAAGGGACACCAAGGACCGCTGGCACCATCAGCAGCTAAGAGACAGGCATGAAATGGACTCTTCCCTACACCCTTCAGAGAGAGCATGGCTCTACCAACACCTTGATTTAGGACTTCTTGTTTCTAGAGTTGTGAGAGAATAAACTGCTGTACTTTTAAGCCTCTCTGTGCTAATTTGTTCATGGGCCCTAGAAAACAAATGTAAATGCAGACTGAGCTATGCAGAAACTAACAAAATTCCCTAAAGGCCCAAAACAAAGCAAGATCAGATATCTAGTGCTCTAAGGCAACTGCTACCCCTGCAGCATCTGCTGTCTATGATTTGGCACTTTAGTCTTCACAGCTATTTAGGGAATACAAAATCTATGAACAATGAAGGCGGGGTGTTAGATTAAAATTTTTTCATAACACATAAATTTCTATATCTCTATATATTTCATAATAAAAATAGGAAAATGTACAAAATAGGATATGTAAATGTTATCATTTCACTTTTGAAGACGTGTAAGGGAATGATGTATTGGCTTTTATGAACAGACAACCTCTGCAAAGAGAGGCAAACCACTGAGAACTCTGCTTGGACAGAAGATGACAGGATAGAGATGGAAGGGGAATTTCTCACTATATCATCTTGTTCTGAATTTAAAAAGATACAATCGTATGAATTGGTCAAAAAATCAAATTAAAGTTAAAAATTAAGAATTTAAATCAAAAATGGAAGTACATAAATAAGTTAAAACTAATAAATACTGCTCTCGCTAACTAATCTCCCTAAAACAGTCCTTGATAGAAAAGTGTTTGTTTCTCCATAACTTACCAGCTCTAGCTTCATAATATGCACACAGTCTCTGAGGATGTGTGTAGGCGCTCCTAACAGCTTGGTGAAAGCTATTAATGTATTGGCTTTAAATGGTGGTCCTGCAACCTATGGGGTTAAAGAAAGCCAAGTTACTCTTCATTCTCCCCTGACTTCTCTGTTAAATTATATTAAAATTATGCATTATTAAACACATACTCTTGTTTCAAAGAATTTCTCCAAAACTTGAAGTTCATCAGGTTTCCACTGTCCTGCGTTTTCAGGCGTCACTTTTAGCTGAAGGGTCTGGTTGGTTTTGGGACTGAGAGCTACTCTGCATTTCAGTGCATCAGTCTTAAACATGATTACTCCAGGTTCATTGGAGTTTATCAGTTGTAGCTACAAAACAAGAAGATGAATCAAGTTAGCATGGAAGATAAAGAAACAATGAAAGTGTTACTAAGAAAACTGTTTCAAAATGAAAAAAACTAAGTTGACAGAGATAAGCAAGATGAAGTTCAGAAGAGCTTGAAGGGTACATGGACTGTAAGTAACAGAGCTCAGGCTGGATGGTTACTGTTTGAATGCTAATTTATTCAACTTATGTTAAAACTTTTCTACTTTTGAGAAGGAGGACAAGAAAGGGTAATGGGGGGAGAATATGATCAAAGTACATTGTATACATGTATGAAAATATGTCATAATGAAATCCATTACTTTGTATAATTAATATACACTAATAAATTTAAGTTTATATATTTTTCTCAACATGAATATAAAGGTTTCAAAATGGCTTTGTGCCAACTTTGGAGTGGATATTCACCATTTTGACCACTTCATTAATGTACAGATATGGATAATAACAGTAATGATAAATAACACATATAGAATGTTAAGGACTTTACACAAATTATCTCAAATTCCCACAATTGTTATCAGTTAGCTAGAAAATATTATCTACTATTATAAAAAAGGTAGAAAAATCTGCCCAAGTACCTACTACCAGGTTGTATGGCCTGGCTACAAACGCAGGCAGCCAGACTCAGTAACAGTGCTCTTGATTATGAACTATCTCCTAAAGGTATCATCACGGGATAGGTATCTTTTTCCGCAAGGGTTTTTTAAAATACGATCAATTGTTCATGTATTGAAAAAGGAGCTCTTATCCTTGTAGTCAGAGCAGTTTTATTTCAATGGAGGCTCAGCTTCAAACTCAGCCTGCCTGCCAGGGTGCACCGGAGAGCAAATAGTGACTCATAGGCTATTCTCTGCAAGGCCAGACACTATGCGTACTATTTCTGCATAATGTGGTAACCTGTTTCTCAGTTCATGCTAGCTATAGGACATAGGAGCCACAGCACAGTAAACTATAAAACGCAGAAGTATGCTAACCTAAGAATGGAAAGAAATGGTGGGGGGTCATTTCTAATGCTAGGGCAGGATGAAAAGCATAATCCTAACAAGCTGCTTAAGAAGGTGAGAGATTGTTAGCTAAGATCCAATTCAGCATTCTGCCTTTGATAATGACCACTTAGAAGGTCACTAGATACACATACCGTTTCTTGTTGAATAATTCTTTGAAGGTGTCGTCTCATGATGACGGATCCAAGGAATCTCTCAAGTGGGGAACAAAGGTAACTACCTGCCAGGCCGGGCACGAGGCCTGGTGTTGGAGAGGGCAGCAGTAAAATGTTCAAGGCACTGTGAGTGAGGATGGTAGGTATGGATGCCGCCCAAGAGCGCTGAGGTAGTTTACGAGGTGGAGGCATGTTTGTTGGCATTGTTTGGGAACCTTTTGGGAAGGAAAACGTGTCACTTCATTTACAAATACATACTATCTCATTGTTTCCGATTTTGTTTTCATTATAAATCATTGCTATTCTAAATCCATCTGTGCTACATTAATTACTCTGTTAGCAAAATTAGCCACAATTATTTTCTTACCTGTATTTGGAACCCTTGCAATTTAACTCTACAGGAATTCCTTCAATGGGTGGGGTTTCTTCCTCCACCTAGAACCTGTCTGGCCTTGTGACTTGCTTTTGCCCAAAATGTGGTAGAAGTGACACTGGGCCAGTTGTAAGCCTAGATTTCTACTTGCCCTCCTGAAACCCTGTCTAGTCACCAGGTGAACAAACCTGTGAATAAGTATGAGACCACACAGAGCAGAGAGAAGCCATGCCAGCTGAGGCTATCTGAGGCCAACTAATCCCTAGTCAACCTAGTAATTGACCAGAGATATAAGTAAGCTCAGCAGGGTCTGCCAAACTGCAGAATTATGAACCAATATACGATTCTTGTTTTAAGCACTAAAAGTTATGCAACAGAAGCTAACAAATATTCTTCTCTTGTTTTAATTTGCATAACTTTCGTCATTTAACTTAGGGTATCTTTTATAGTCCAATATGACACCTAAAACAGTACTCATGACAAAGGTATTGGGACTTACTTCATGAGACTTAAGGAGGAGATAGCCCCCTTTCTGAACATTGTGTACCCACTGCAAATTAACTATGTGAACCAACTTTGCTAAATAATAAAAGTTTAAGTTTTTAGAAATCCCCATTCAACACATACGTCATGACTTGCAAATGTGAGAATGGAATAAAATAGGTTACTTTACTAGCTACACTAAAAAAGAACGTAAAAATGTTGATCATACTCACTTGTTCCAGCTCGAGGGGAATGAGAAGCATCTGGAACTGGAGAATGAAGTGATGGGTTGGCTGGTGACATTCCAGGCAAACGTGTTGCTGGTGAGGGGCCGGACACTTGAGGAGACCCTGGCCAGTTCCCTGCTCTTCCACTTGGTGACACCATAGTATATGGGGAACTAGGGTCAAGAGTTCCTGAAAAAAAGTAAATGGGTGGTTCTCAAAATCTGTATTTTAATAACCAAAAATATTTGATGGCATTCAAATCCTTAAACTGTGGTTGATTTTTTCCTTTCAAGATGGTATTTCACTAATCTTGATGTCTCTTAACATATCATATCTGAATCTCTATTTTGTGTAGTTTATGTACTTTTTAACCAGATACAAGAATTAGAAAAATAAACAGATTAAGAAAGGATAAAATTTTCCTTCACACAAGCTTCCACATGTTTTACATGGCAATCTATGTCACAATATGCTTGAAAATATTAAGCAAACAACTGCAAAGCTCCTTTAGGAGCAAAAGTATTATAATTTTAAATTAACCCTGACAAATTACATTTTCATCCTATTGAGAGAAAGGTGAGAAGAATATTTTCCATTTTCTTTATTTAGTAAATGCTACATTGACTAAGAAATAGCACCAAGAATCAACTTTTGAAAGCAGTGACTTCCTCAACAATTTGATATTTAAATTTCACCCTGCAAAAAAAAAAAAATTCTTCCTGCAAATACTTGATATATTATTTCTATCTCTTTATCATCAAATGAGAAACTGAGAAGGTATTTCTACCATATGTATCAGAAAATAAATAGTCTTTACTTATAAACTAGCAGGAACAAAAAAAGAAACACTAAAAACTAATGAACATAAAAAAGGTTCCTCTTCACTAACTGGAGAAACACATTAGACAGTAAACATGGCATTTTTTTCACCTATCAAAATGGCCAAGGCTGTAAAAAATCATAATATCCTGTGTTGACAATTATGCAGGACAACAGACACCCCCCTACTCTATGCTACAGGAAATTGGTTCAGCCTTTTAAGTGAACAAATTGTAATGTTTTTTGAAAGCATTAGAATTTCTCAAACCCTCTGAGACCATAATTCCACTTTTAGGATCTTACCTAAGGAAATAATCATGAATGTAAGCACAGATGGCACCATTTTTAATTGTGAAAAAGGGAAACATTCTAAATGTATAATATAGGAGAACAGTTAAATTATAGTATACTCAGACAAGGAAATATTATGAAGCTGTGTAGTATGACTATATGGAGTTTTTACTGACAAATGTTCTCACAAATATTAATAGTAAAAAGTAAATCACAGATGTACACAGCTTAAAAGCTAAGGAGGCTCTTTATTTTCTCCTGTGGCATGGTATTCATGATATATTACACTGTGTACAGTATGTAGCTATGCTTGTGCATGTGGAGATACACACATTTGCTTGTGTATGCATAAAATAGCTCTGCAAGAACATGTCAGAAATTAGTAACAACAAATGCCTCTGGGAAGAGGAAATTAGGTGGTCATTTTGTGGAATAAAAAGGAAACATTCTATTGACTACCTCATCTATTCTTTAATTATTTGAATATATTCAAAACAGAATATTTGAGTTAAACATTTTAAAAATTCAAGTTTCAAAGCAATTCATATGGTAAGGTGCCCATCTTGAGGGGAGGTATCTCAGGGGACAGACAAACCAAGGGGTAGAGAGTAAGCAAGCATCAGAGATGTGAGGGGCAGACAGCAGGGAGTGTGTGACAGGAAGGGCAAGGCAGAGCAAGGGGTAGAGTGAGGAAAACAGAGAGAGAGAGGGAGAGTTCAAAGCAGAGACAGACCAACTGGTAATTACCTCTGTGTGGTGTGATTAGGAGAAATCTATTTTCTTTTCGTTAAAGCAATACTTTTGCTATTTCTCAATAAACAAGCACTGATTTGCAATAGGAAATTTTATTCAACAAAAATTACTTTCATGTCAAGCTTTTATGCTACACCGATTTCCATGTATGGACTCACCATGTGGACTAGCAAAACTGGCCCCTGGTCCTATTGAGATTCCATGCGAGGATGGGGGAGGAGTTGGAACAAATGACGCTGGTGATGGGGCTCTCAAAGCCCCACTGGGGGAGCTGGCAGCATGCAGATTTCCTAATAAAGGAAAATAATTACAGATGATCTTGCAGGACACATATTATGTCCTGTTCAAGGACTCCAAGCTAAAAATCTCCCTGGAGACTAAAGAAAGAGATAGTAGTAAAGCTCCCATAAAAGCACAAAGAAAAACTGAAAATATTTCATTATTAAAAAAAAGAGCTCAATTCCATGAGCCCAAATTCTAACTCTTATATTGACTAATTAAAAACAAAACCAGTATACTTTTTATTAACTTCCTCACTCATTCAACAAGTAGGTATGATTGCCAACTTCATGCCAAGCACTGCTCTAAGCATTGAGGATGCAGGAGTTAACAAAAGAGACAAAAATTACTACACTCTTACATTCTAGTAAATGAGAAAAACAAACCTAAATTAGGTAATGATGAGGGCTATGGAGAAAACTACAGCAAGGTAAGGGGGCAGTTTTGTATAGTGGTAAAGGTGGGTACTGATCTTTATATAGAACAATTACAGAAGACCTCTCTAAGAAGGGAACCCATTAGCCAGGCATGAAGAAAGTACAGGACACAGCAAGAGGATATCTAAGGGCGTAAGGTACTCCAGGCAAACAGAAGAGTCAGTACAAAGGCCTCAAAGGAGGACACAGTTATGCATGATGGGAGTGGTGTGCAGAACAAAGTAAAGATGGAGTGGGAGAACATAGAGTCAGAGAGTTTAGAAGTAGGTCACAGGTCACATGGGGACTTGTAGGCCACTCTAAGGACTTCCGGGGTTTATCTTGAATGAGTGGGAGGTTAGTACAGCAGTCATAAACTAACTTTTGTCTCAGAAGGATCCCTCTAGACTGTAACACTGGGGATGTAGTTCAGTGGTAGGGTGCTTGCCTAGCATGTACAAGGCCCCAAGTTCTATTCCCAGAACTGCAAACAAAACAAATCACACACACAAAAAAAAACCAAAACAACAACTATAGAGCAACAGTAGTGGCAGGGCAAGAGAAACCAGTTAGCGGCAACTGCAATAATCCAAGTAAGAGAGGACCAGTGGTTTGGGCAAGGGTGACCAAAAGTTGTGGTAGCACAAGGTGGTTGGATTCAGAGTAAAAACTAAAGATAGCTGTCAGTATTTGGTAAGTGACTAAATGTGGGTGTGAAAGAAAAAGGAGTCCAACATGACTCTAACAGCTGTGGCCCAGGTAACAGGAATGAAGGGGCTGCCAATTACTGAACTGGGGTGTCTATGGGAAGAACAGGACTGGGGGGTTGGAGGATCATCAGCTTAGTTTCAGCCATGCTGAATTTCAGGTAGCTACTAAACATTATTCAGAAATGCTGACTAGATAGCTAGAAAATACCAGCATAGAGTTCTGGGGCAAGATCTAGAATAGTGATACAAAAACTTAAAGATAGTATTTAAAGCCAGAGGACTAGTTATAACTTAGGATTACAAAAAGGAGAACTATGGTTACCGAAACTATGAATGAATGTAACATTAAAATATTTGCTATATTACCATCACTATCTTCAATGTCAGCAGGTGTCAAACTCTGTACTATGTAGGATTTCATATTTTTATATTCTATAATACCTAAGCAATGTCTTATACTCAATAAGTATGTTGATCAACTTAATTAACCTTTAAGTGCTATATTTACTTATTTATCCGTATGACCTGACAAGTAACTTAACTTCTCCAAGCCTCAGTCTTTCTTCATAAAATAGGGATAATAGGACCTATGCCACAAGTTTGCTATGAGGATTAAATGAGTATAGTGCTCAGCATAGGGGTTAGCATATCCAAAGTAAGCACTATATACCTGTCACTACTATTTCAAAATTAGTATTCTCCCTTTGTTCAATGCAACAACAATCTCAACTTGTATCCTAGAAACATACTCCCCTGGGGTTCCAATTCTCTATTGCCTACCTCCTCCCCAGCTATTCTTTCATCACAGAGCACTCCTGCTCCTAGAGACTGAGCTTGCCCACCCACTTGGGCTTTACTCACCTGACACTGACATGGTAACCACTTCCAAGTCTTCATCTATGGTCTAAGCATCTCTGATGAGCCACAGGCCTCAATATAGCCAATTACCTACTGCATGTCTTGATGTAGAAGTCTCTGCCCCTGCCAGTTATGCAAACCGAACCCCAATGTGGCCATCCAACAATGGCTTACCCACACAATAAAAGCCAAAAACTCTAACAGGGCCCTGTCTCTCCATGCTCCAGCTGCTCAGGACAGTCTACTATCCTTTAGGACCTCAGGCTTTACACACCCCCCTGAACTCTGCCTAGAATACCCTCCTTGTCTGTGTCCTTGCACCTGGCCACGTCTGACCTATCCTTTAGGTCTCAGCTTAATCAGTGTCAGAGAGAAGAGGGCAGGCAAGGCATCTTCAGGGAAGAAATGGTCAACTCCCTGCCAAATGGCCTTTCAAAACTCTGGCTGACCTCTTTGCAATGCTCATCACACTTGACATTATAGATGAAGACTGTTTAGGAATCTAAACAGAGGAAGCACATTCCACCTCCAAAAATGAGAATTTAAAGATTTTTAAAACAAGGATCTTCTTTAAAAAAAAAAAAAAAAAAGCCCTGCTACTATAAAAATCTGAAGAGCAATCTCAGTGGCCAAGTGAGAGACATGTACTGCAGGGTGTGGGATCTGCCAGGATGTGAGTGCCGGAGTAGTGCTGGATGTCAAGTAATGTATTTCATTAAATTCTCACATCTCTAAGCAAAATGTTTTACATTATTCCTATTTTACAAATGGAATTAGTTGGTGAACAAGTGACACCCCTATATTCCTATCTGTAGATAAACAGGTTCTGCTGGTTCATACAAATTTCTCAAATATATACATACAAGGATCTTTTTATATAAAGGAAAAAAAGTACGTACCGCAAATTCTGCTTTACAATGTGAAAACTTAAAAGCAAATGTATTTGAGTTTGTGACTAAAAAAAAAAAAAAAAATCAGTGTTTGTGCCAAAAAAAAAGTCAGAGCTTTATGTGTGTCCTATTTTCTAATACACCAGAACATCTTTGAATGGTAATATATTTTTAGTTTAAAAATTATCTAATTTCATACATATATATGTTAAGAAGTTTTAGCAAGATTTTAGTCTAACATGATAAAGTAGGGAGAAGTCAGAAACATTTCTACTCTCTAAGCAGGAAATGGGAGTAAAGACTCCTTTTATATTTGACATCCACATTTCATATATCTTTTACACTAAAAGTTGCAGGGTTTTTTAAAACCCCATTATACTCTGCTTCATTACTGATTAAGTACAGGAGCTAGCAGGGGTCATTTCCCCAAGAAATCTGATACCAGTCTCCCTGCTGAATTCCCAGCACCAATCTGCATTTGGTACAGAAGCAAGTGCTCAAGAAATACCACTGAATCTTCAGTCAAAAGCAAACATTTGGCATTTTCACATACTTTTACAATGCACTTCATGGGGCTGCCAACAAAGCCGCATGAAACAAATAGGATGTACACTGCCTGATTCTGGGGACTGGGGAGCAGTCCATCATCACATATTGACCAGGGCTTGGCAAATGGAATTGCTACAGAAGGAAAGCAGCCACTGACTCTAAATAAACAGGTGTTGCTGTGTTCAAATGAAACTTAATTTATTTACAAAAACAGGTGGTGGGGCAGGATTTGTCCCAGAGGCCTAGGTTTGTTAACCTTGGATGCAGACCATAGTATGATTAGTACCCCTGGGAGCTATCCTATGAGTCTGGATCTTGGTGACAACACCCCCACTTAATTAAAATCTTCTAAGGTGCTCCTGAACCATGAACACAGATTTCATAGCCCTGCCACACTGAACGTGTGACAATTATCTAGCCACAGACTAGAAAGGGAATTCTCTCTTCTCACTGAAGGCTACAGTGAGAGAGAGAGAGAGAGAGAGAGAGAGAGAGTGAGTGTGTGTGTGTGTGTGTGTGTTGGATTTGAAAACTGAATGAGACAAGAGAGTAAATAGTATCTTACCTGGAGACTGTGTGTGCATCATAGAGGGAGACTGATTAACTGTGCTGTGGTAAGATGTAGGGGGCGAAGTAAGAGGATAAGCGCCTGATGTTCCTGGCTGCTTTGAAAATGGCTGCAAAGAAGAAAATTAAATGTTGGTAAAATGGCCAGCCACAGATAGTACAAGAGTATGGCTTTCCTCTAATTATAGCTACAATATTAAGATTTATATCCTTCATTGGTTACCAAACAGGAAACACAAGAGATCAAAGGGTTCTAAATATATAAATCTTTAAAAACTCTGGCTTTCCAAATATTTTAAAAATAGCAACTTCCTCAATCCTCACCTTGCAACATCTCTGCTTCTATCCCTCAAGGTATGTCTTGCTCATTTTATTTACATCACTGATTTATCTGTATTATCAACCAACTCACTGGTTCTAAGACATTTACCTCCACATTTTAACATTTCTGAAATCAGAGTTAATCTTTCAATTCTTGGCATATTAGTTTAACTTGCAGTGTTTTGTTTCTCTTTTTTAGCACGACATAAAAAGTAGTGCATTTTATATTTGGTGGAGTGGAGAGTCAATGAGATACAGTAGTTCAACCTGACCTCTACTCACCTTTATCTTTATCTCTAGTAGTGAAAAATCAAGGACAATCTAATTACGTTCTTAGTCTATTTGTAGAAATTGAGGTATGGGTCACATATAGTAAAATGAAGAAATCTTAAACGTACAGTTTGATGAATGTTTAACAATGTAACTACCACAGAGATCAAGATTCAGGTGACCATTACCAGCATGTCACAGGCCTTCCTTATCCCCCTCCCAAGTCTTTAGCACCTCCCTAAAGATATATCACTCAAGCTTTGTTTTATTTTTGCATTTCACATAAATACTGAATGCACTCTTTATATTGACTGGCTTTCTTTGTTTACCATTATCTCAGTGAAATTCATCCAGTGTGTTTCATGTGGCAATAGTCTGTTTTGTCATTTCTATAACATATTCCATGGGATGAATATACCCCTATTCATTCATTCATTCTACTATTGCTGGATGCTTGAGTTGTTTACAATTTTTGAATAATGTTGCTGTAAACTTTTTTTTGTGGTTTCTGATGCACTCCTGCTACATATGGTAGAATTGTTAAATCACTGGCATACATAATGTTCAGTTGTAGTACCCTAGAATACTGCTGAACACCACTGCAAGGTAGTTGTACTATCTTACACTCTTTCTGACAGTAAATGAGAGTTTCAGTTGCTCCAAATACCAAATGTTGGCAAGAATTATAGATTGTTTTTCTTAAAGCCATTTTTGTGGGCATGGATTTCATTTGTATTTCTGTGACACCAAATGAGGTTTCAACATCCTTTTTTGTGCTTACTGGTCATTTGGACATCCTTTTTTTTGTGAAATGTCTTGAATCTTTTGCCCCTTTTTTTGTTTGTTTTGAAACTGGGTCCTTCTGTAGCCCAGGCTAGCCTTGAACTCATAGTCTTCCTGCCTCAGCCTCCTAAGTGCTGGGATTAGAGATGGGCCACCATGCCTGGCTTCTTTTGCCCATTTTTAAAATGAGGTTGTCTATTTTTTTCCTTATTGATTCTTCCTAAACTACATTAAAGAAACTATAGAATTCAGGTTCTCTAAATCTAAGTTAAAAACATAGGTTTTAACTGTATTATTTTACCCAATAATGTAGAATGTGTTTTTTTTTATATTGAAGGCAATAGTACTTTATAATTAAAACTATGATACTCCTAAGCCTTTATATTTTCTTTCCCACAGACTAGCTTATGGACTAAAACTGTGCATTTTATATAAAAGAAGTAAAGCCACCTGCTAACATCAAGTAAAATGTACATGAAATTCTTCATGAACATTTTTCCTTTTATCAAGACTAGTAACAGTTTACAAATAAGACTACAAAACAAATATCTGGTAAGCAGAAAATAAATGAAAACTGGTATGAGTCAATAAATGCTCAATCCTTAAGGATACCTAAAACCAAAGCCACTAGATAAAGACACTTAGTCATAGCAGATGAATATTCTTTTATAAAAGAATTCTGACTGATACTGTCAATTTTTTTAAATTTAGAAATAAGAAAAGTTCTACTTACGGATTTAGTATACAACAAGAAAAAAGCAGAAAATTCCTAGAGTTTTCAGTGACAAATTATTTTAAGTTTTCTAGAACATTCTAACTTATCCCCAATCCACCTACTTCTTCTAATTCTTTTGCCCTAACCTATGACTATTTTCCTAGTTAAAAATCTCATGATCAGTATGAAATGGTACTGGTACATAAAACTCTTAGCAAAATCAGAATGTCAAATAGACTAGCACTTTAGGCTTATACTATTTCAGATCCTTGTAGAGAGGCCAATGAATGACTTACTTGGGGAGAAAGGGAGAATGACAGTCCAACCAGCCTGCCTCAGTCACTTCTTTCCCCAAGAAGATGTGGCATACCCTCTGTTCAATTTCAGGTACAGGAAAGACCTCCAATGCAAGATGGTGGCTTCCACAATAAAAAAGCTGCTCTGGCATCTGCTGACCAAGGCACTTCTGCCCCACAGTGGCCCAGCATCCTCAGAGGGCTGATACCTCATCTGAGTCAACATCTGTCACCAGAGCCCCACACTATGACTCTTCTGTACCTTCATGAAAGTCATGAAGGGAAGTAGCTGGGTGTGGTAGGAAGTAGTAGTAATCCTTGCTATTTAGAGGTGGAGATAAGGAAGATCACAATTTGAGGTGAGTGTGGGCAAAAAAACTTTTAAGACTTCATGATAACCAACAGCTGGGAGTAGTGGCATAATACTGTTACCCAAGCTATGTGGAGCACAAACAGGAAGATCAATGTCCAGGCTGGCCCAGGCACAATGCAAGACCCTATTTCAAAAGCAATCAATGCAGAAATGGTTAGTGGCATGGCTCAAGTGGTAAAGTGCCTACCTAGTAAGTGCCAGGCCGAGTTCAACTCTCCAGTACCGCCAAAAACAAACAAAAATGGAAGTAAATAGAGAGTAGGCAAAAACCTAAACAGCCACCAGGAACAATACAAAGAACCCTCCTTCTCAGAAGAATCTAGTACTCTTTCAAAGTACACACTGGAAAGTAACCAGCACTTACTAAGTAACCAGACCACAAGCTAGGTAGTAGACCAAGTAGTAGATTCTCTTTACAATGCTTGTTCCAAGGATTTTTTTTTTTTTTTGGTGTTACCAGGGTTCAAATTCAGGGTCTCATGCTTGCTAGGCAGGCAGTCTAACCATTTGAGCCACTCTGCTAACCCAAAAAGGTTTCTGAGTGAGAAGCAGTGAGCTATTTTATAAACCAAATTAAAGGTTGTGCCAAAGAACCCTGCCCACAGGTCATGTGTTCAAATACAACTAAAAATAGAGCCACTAAAGGATCAAGCCCAAAGGCAAGAAGCCTCTACTCTACCATACTGAGTCTTTTCCAGTTTAGGAGTCACAAGGGACAGGTTAAGGGGTGAAAGATCACTGTCCACTCTCTATTTCAGGAGGGTCAGAGTGAGAACAAAAGCTGACCTGGGGGCCTGTTCAATGCCCAGACATGTAGAGGTGTCAGGACAGACCTGAAATCTTTGAAGATTTAACCATGTGGCTTATCCAAATGGTCTGAGGAGAGAACCCTTGAAATTGTACACTTGTTCTCTTCTGAACATGATTAGACATTTAGTTCTCTGTGCCTGACTTTATTAACAGCTGTCATGCAGGACATGGTGAGGACACTGTCACAAAGAGCTCCTTAAATCTTGCAAATGATGTTTCCATCCTTGGAATCACACCATTTTAAGCATGCATGTGATCTAAGTGTCTGAGGTTAAGACTTTTCCAGGTACTATTTACTTCCCATCACTGAAAGCTTGTTTCTCATCTCCCTCTGTCATTATTTTTTCATAAAGATTTCCTGGGCATCTTAGGCCCACCAAGGATCTCCTCACCTTCCAACAAAGGAACCCTGACTCCTGAAGAATGTGAAGTTATACAAATGCAACCCTGTTTGGAATTTCGGTGAGACATTACCTGTTGCTGGGGTGGCGGCTGAAGTTGTGATATTAAAGAGTCCATCATATCTCCTCCTATAGGAGAAGGGGGATTATCATCCTCATTCACAGACCTTCTTCGAGCATCCTGATTACTGTCAACAAACATATTCAGGAATGTCTACGAATAGAAACAGGTAAAATTTAGATTACCTAACTCCAGAAAAATATTTTCAATCATTTAGAATATATAGAGATATATACATATCTATCAATATTTTTTTTGGTGGTACTGGGGTTTGCACTCAAGGGCTTCACGCTTGCAAAGCAGACACTCTACCACTTAAGGCACACCTCCAGTCCATTTTGCTCTAGAGAAGATGGGGTCTCAAGAACTATTTGCCTGGATTGGCCCTGAACCACGGATCCTCCTAATCTCAGCCTCCCAAGTAGCTAGGATTACAGGAATGAACCACCAGCGCCCAGCAATCATTTAGAATATTTATTTAGACACAAACATACTTTGTCTATCTCTGAAAACTATTATTAGGACAATCTAGAAGAGATACTGCCAATTTTTAAGGAAGGGAGAATTGAGGAAAGTGGTTAACAATAAAGTTAAGAAATCAAGAAGAACTGTACATCAAAAAATTGAAGAAAGAAGTATACCCTGGCACCATTTACCACCAGATCAAGGTATTTTCTTATTAACTTCTGACCCAGAAATGAGGGATGGGGGGGAGTGAAAAGTTGTATGTTGGACATGTAAGTAGCATAAAATTTCCCATTTAGTAGGAGTTCTTTTTTAAGCTAGACTATATGACGGGAAAACTGAACTAAAAATTAAGCCAAATTTTGGCTTTAAAAATTATGATTATCAATCATAATTGATGGTTATTAATCATAATATGAAGTTGGCCATAATGTAAATGATTTAATCTTGAACCACTGAAATAGAAAAGCCTGTTTTATAAGATATGTCATCAAAAAATTGAGCAGTTATCGAAATTTGTGTCAAGCATATATTTTCCTTCTTTTAATACCTCCTATCTTCCCACTCTTCAAAAATGTGTATTGTAAGCTTATCAGAATCACTAAAGTGTTATTAAAAGTATATAGTCTGAGTTTTAAAGTTAATGGACTTGCAACACATATTTTATCTCTCTCAATATCCTACTAAAACTACTAAAAAAAATTAAAGCAATAAATTACAAAAACAAAAATAAATGAGAAGGGGAAAAAATAACCATACATTCTGGAGGCTGTGAAGCAGATGGTTGAACCATCCGATGCGAGAGAGTCATATCCTAAGCAAGCCATGGGAAAAGCCAAGAAACAAAGCTATTTCCATCCAGATCCCCAAGACACTTTGAAACTGGCAGGACCAGATATCTCTGGAAATGAGGATAGAGGTGGGACTAAACACTGAAGTATTGGTTGAAAGTCTCTTTAAGAGACACTAAACTCTCCCAATTACTTGTTACTCTCACCTGAACTCAGCTGATCTCCACCTCGTGGAGGATGAGCTAACCTGGGGACTCCAAGATCAACAGAGAGAAAATGGGGATTAAATTCTACATACTGTAAGTTGAGAATACTCGTTTTCATTTCCTCATTTTGACTTCTCTCAAATCCATTTATGCAGGAACTTGGATAGTCTTCTTTTGGTACTCCTACCACCCAACAAAAAGACCTAAAGATACTGGCATCAGGAATATGGCCCAAGCAGATGCTCCTTCATTGAAGACCACAGTCAATAAATCTCACTTTTAAGTAAGAGCAGAAGGCTAAGAATTACTTAATATCTGAAGAAAGACACTAGCATGAAAAGTATCAATGCCCTACCACCAAAAAAGCAAGAAATGGAGATTTATGTAAAGAAAAGATAATATTGCTATATAAGAACATGTCATAAAAATGAACATTTAGAAGCCAAAAAGAGCTTTTTGAAATGTTTTAAAAAATCTTGAGAGAAAACAAAAATAGAAGGGCTAGAGGGGAAAAAAATAAAACCTTCCAAAAGCAATGGAACAAAAAATGCAGAAGAGATAAGAAAGGACAAGTCTAAGATGTTCACACCAAAACAGTAGGGTTACCAGAAAGAGCTAAAGAGAGAAAAAAAAAAAAAAGGAAAAATCAAGAAATAATGCAAGGGAATTTCCCAGCTAAAAAGATGTAAGTGTTCAGACTAAAGGAGCCCGCTCAGTCATTTAGGTTCAAGAATTAGAAGAGTATCAAACACCCGACAGTTGCAATGGAATCTAGAAAACAATGAAGCAATGCGTTCAAAATTTTTACAGAAAATGACTGCAACTTAGAATTCTACACCTAGTCACCCTCAGTTAGATGGGGCAAACTAAGGACAATTTCAGTCACACAAGGTCTCAAATAACTTCCCATGGTCTCAAATTGACATCCCATGTACCTTCTTCCCCCAGGCTGCACTATAAGAGGTCTGCCACCAAAATGACAAAGTAACCAAGAAAAAGAAATGGGGTCTAAATCACTGGGCATGCAACAGAAGAAAAATGTGAAGGAATGTCTCCTTTTATACTGAAGCAGATTTTCTGCAAAAGAACTGAGATACTACCAGTCCAAATAGAAGCAGGTTGGAGGACTGTGGAAGAGGTTTCTTCAAGATGGAACCAATAAGGTAAGCTGGTGCGATGGCACACTCCTGTAATATCAGCTGCATAAGAAGTGGAGGTAGAAGGATCATGATCAGAGGCCAGCCCCATGCAAAAAGCATGAGACCTTATCTGAAAAATAAAGTAAAAGCAAAAAGGGCTGCGGGTGTGTCTCAAGAGGTAGAGCTAGCAAGCACAAAGCTTTAGTTCAAACAAGCAAACAAGAAACCAGTAAGTTATTTGATGTTTGAATATATTAGAAGAGAGTTATATAACCGTGAGAGATTTAAGGTTGAGTTAATGGTAAGGTACAGAGAAAGCTAAGCAAAATAAAAAAAGCTAATGAATAATTCTCAGGAAAATAAAGCAGTGAACAAGGAAAAGTAATCACAGCAAGCTTTGGTGAAACAGTGTTCACGCTTTCATCCTGTGAACATTAAAAAATCATGTAATCACAATTGCTGTCCAATCATATTGCAAAGACAGGAGGAAAGAGGAACATGTTCATATACTAAGAGTAGGCTAGAGGGGGGAAGGAATATCTAAAAAAAGGAATTAAAAAGAATAAATTGTCCCTTTCCACAGAGACTCAGACAATGCCCTCAAGCAGTAAGTCCTAACATTGTAAGTATGCTATTTAGAGGTATGGATATAAGCATCAAAAGAATCACCTATATAAGAACTGAAAATAAGTGTCTGAGGAGCAGGAAAACGGCAGGAGTGGGATGCAAGAGACCTCTGTAAAGCAAAGCTTTTAGAACTATTTGACTTTCGACTTAAACACCGAGCCATCACATGAGAATCTCCAGCAGTTGTGGCACAGGACATTGCATTTTTAGAAAGCATCACAGATGAACTGATAGTACAACCTTTTCAATAATCCATTGGTTATTAAAGACTACGTTTAAAGTTCTAAAAATCAAGTATGACGCTCTTCAGTATCTTCCACCATATTTATTACAGGGTAAGGAAATGAAAGACTTAATATCATCTTGTACACATAAACACGGCACTTCATCAGAACTTCTAGCTCCCTTAGAATAAAGTTGCTGAGGATGAATTAACTCATCTGATTAACTGCTACTTATTAAATTCAAACAGGACTTTGTTGCTTTTGCCCATTATTTCTCCCTCAGAGAAACTGTTTTAGAGGTCACTCTTAGGTTTACTCTGCCATGCTATACTATTAAAGTCTGTTACCTTTAATCCTGGTGCAGGATAAAAACCTTCAACTAACTTGCTGTTATCAAAAAGACTATAGGCACCATCCCGTATTGCCACAACACCTCGACTCCGGCAGTATATATCAATACAGTACATATTCCTGAAGGCCAGTCTGATGTGGGTGGACGACTGCGGCAGAATGGAGAAGCACTGGTAGGCGGTGTTGGTTCTCTGGGTTAAGCCCAACATCGGTACAGTGGGGAGTTTGTTGATGGCATTTAATGGAGCCTGAGTATCAAACAGTACCTATAAAAAACAAACAATGAGGGTAGTTGCAGTACAAATGCCAATGCCTCAGAAAATTTCAACGTATAACTATCACAAATGAAACAATGTCATTCTGGCACATTCTGTAAAACTTTCCCTTGGCGAGAGTAGAATAGATCACAGTATCAACTTTTGTTTGTTTCTTTGGTGGGGTTGGGTTTGAACTGAGGTTTCACGCTTGCAATGCAGGCACTCTTACCACTTGAGCCACACCCCCACTCCATTGTTCTAGTTATTTTGGAGATGTGGTCTTGTGAACTATTTGTCTGGGCTCGCCTCAATCATGATCTTCCCGATCTCAGCCTCAAGTAGCTAGGATTACAGGTATGCACCACTGCATCCGCTGTATCAACTTTTGATCAAGAGAAAATTCTCAAAGCATGTTCAAGATGTAAAAGACAAAGGCACCCACCTCAGTCATTAAAGAAAAGTAAGTCTACATGATTTTTGCATGAAACACTAAAAAGGTCTAATTTTTAGACAGAGAACAAACTTAATTACCTGTAATAACTGAACCACATTTGGTGTCTTGTTGAACATTTCTTGAAGCTGATGGAGAATGGTATTGTGGCAGTTACTGCAACCTGAGTTTGGGCCAACTGTGCCCAAAGAAATGTGAAATTTCTGATGGATGGAATTCCACTGGATACTAATCTAAATCAAAGAGATAGTATGTTTCAGAAACTGAGAAAGTAACAGATTTAAGTAGAAGAAAAAAATGTTAAAGCTAAAGTGAAAGACCTAAATGAGATGATGCTTTTCAAAAACAAGTAATAAAATTAGTCTCGATTCAAATTTCAGGTACGCTATTAATATGGACCAGCACTTGTATATTAGCCCTCTTATACTAAATGAAACAAAGAGAAAATGTAAAGAAAAAAAAATTGGGGGTGGGGGCAATACTGGGAGATGGAACTCAGGGCCTTACATTTGCTAGGCAGCATATACCACTTAAACCATGCACCCTTCCCCCACCAACCCCTTTGGCTTTGGCTATTTTTGAGATGTGTCAGGGCTAGCCTGAACCACAGTCCTCCTACTTACACTTCCTGTATGGCTGGATAAAAGACAATACCACAATGCCAGGCTTTGACTGGTTGAGATGGGGGTCTCACAAATTTTTTGCCCAGCTCAACTGCAACCTCCTGATCTCTGTCTCACTGAGTAGATAGGATTATAGGCTTGAGCCTTGAGTCACTGCGCCCAGCAAAAGAGAGAGAATCCAACTGGCTGAATTTTTATACTACATTTCTAGAACTTTACATATGGGGTAGGAGAAAAATAAGGAATTGTAGATTATAGGGAATACCTTCAGGACTAAGATAAGATCGAACAATGATAACATTCACATGAGCCAAAGCGAAGACATATCAGATTGCCATAATCATTCATAATACTCTTCCTTATAATAATGGTGCCAGATTTGAAATCAGGGAAGAAAAAAATGTAAACACAAAGTGCATTGCCTTGTTCAAAGTTCTTCAAGATGATATCCACCAGAAGGGTATTATTTGTTTTCAAATTTAAAATCGCTAAGTACTCTTTCGTATGAACGAAACATTTAAATATATCATTTTACCTGATTTTACTTGAGATACTTTAAGGCAGTTTTAATAGTTTTTGAGTTCTTTGATTTTTTTTTAAAAAGTTGGAGAGTTTTATTGAGGGAAAAGTGGGTAAAGTGGGACAGTAAGAGCCCCAGAGTTGGGGAGGAGGCTGAAGAGAGGGTACCCCTGAAGTTCTTGATTTTTAAGATTTATAGAAGAGGAACTTCAAATGTTTTAATTCATAAACTTACTGAGCTTCCCTTGGTGTTCCATAACACAAGATAAGTTTTCGGTTTAATTATAAACACGAAACTTCTGAGAAGATATTTAGTGACCGCAGGTATATCTAAGCAGAAAGGAAACAAAAGGATTAATAGTACAATTAAAATTTAAAAATAAAACTGAAAAAGGAGTGCATTTGGCAATACTATTTTGTCTAGATAAAAAGGTATTAGTAAGTAATTCAGTTTTTTAAAAAAAAAAGGCAACAACAATTCAGTATTCTTCCATTTTTTACAAAAGGGGCAGGCAGGGAAGGCAATATACCAAAATGATCTAGCATAGAGG